CCCCCCCCCCCTTCTCGCTTCTCGACGCGTCATTCTTCGAGACGACGCTCAGCGAGCAACGCACAATTCAGGAAGGATGGGATTCTCTTAGCGTCGGCACTCCGGCACCTTCCCATTGGGACTCTCCCGTGTGATCCCGGTTCCTCGACCTCGCGTTGCCGAGTGCATCTGCGAGAACGAGAGGGAGAGAGAGAGAGACAGATAGACCCGATTATCCTCGGACGTTTCCTCGGTTCACCTCGCGATTCCCTCAGGATAACACTCGCGGAGACTGTCCTCGGTAGCGCGACGGCAGTGTCTTATGACTCGTTCCCTGCGCTCCGGCCCAGTTATGTTCTCGATCGAGTACAGCAAGCAATTCCTGAGCTACCGTATACTCAAGTCCAACCGGTTCAAGTACATCTGACGATACGGACTCGGACTACGTGGTAAAGGGTGCGAGCAGAGTGGTGTGTGTGCGTGGTGCCGCGGACGACTTCTCGTACCTACGGTGCTCAGGAAGCCGGAGAGGACGCTGTCCCGGCAAGACCTGGAAAGTCTTGTGTCAGAGTCCGATGATCGGGTCGTTTACCACGGCGAGGTGGGCTTGTTGAGGCAGCGGGACGATTACCCGTCAGACCTTCGGCGTAAAAAGTCGTCGGTAGGACGAAGCTTTCGGCGCATCTGACACAGAGAGAGATCGCCTTTATCTCGAGGAAAATTGGATCGAGAGTAGTAGAGTGAATTGTTTTTCATTAAAATTCGATACGGGAGCATGCGTATTTATCATTAAGGGATCTCGAGGGAGAGAAGCGAAATTCTCCGGGAGGACTCGTTAAAATTTCATCGCGAAGCGTCTCCGGGGCGGAAGGGTTGCTTGATCGCTCGCCTGGCGCAGCGGCTGATGTCTTTGTCGTCGAGAAAGCTCTAATCGGAAAAGTCAGCCGGACATCATCGGATAGCGGCGTTCATTAGCGAGACGAAGGATCCTTGGCGGCCGAGGGGCCATCGAGGAGTCAGGGCTGCGATTCATCTAGGGCGACGACATCGCTCGGGGGCCACGATACGCTTGTATATCGGCCCGTGAATGATCATTAAAAGCGAGCATCGAGCGGCAGGATCAGAGCGGCGAGCGGAAAGTGAAATCACTCGGAAATTCCTCCTCCGAGGGAACGAGAGGAAGACCTCCTGAGAGGGGAGGGGTACATACGGGGACGCGTCTATACTGATTTTTCGCGGCGGTATATACACACATATATATATATATATATATATATGTATATACGTACACATTCACGCGCGCATAATCAAGCCGCATAAAACGCGAATTAAACGGAGTCTCACTAATTAAAGCGGGTAATCGAGCGAAATCTGCACGTCTTTGGTCAAATCGGCGAAGTCGGTGTATAAAGTCGATATAGAGAGAGAGAGAGAGAGAGAGAGAGAAAGAAAGGAAGGGCGACCGCGCGAGGCAAAAGAAGAGCGAAAAACAAAAGACAAACATGATCGTTTACGTTCCGGGCAGAATGCCAACTCACGTTGGTCCCTACGGCGCCGCTCGTTACCCGGGCACCCTGCTAGGAGCTGTCCCGGGTTTTTACAACCCGGTTTCCGGCTACTCCACCAGCCCAGGCTCGAGCTACTACGGGAGCATCAGTATCCAGCACCAACAGCAGCTGGACCTTCCGGTTTGGCCGCGAAGGATGCCGGCCGAGGAGGAACTGGGAAACTCCTCTCCGTCCGCCGGACTGACCGGACTGGGGGTATCTCCTGGCGCTCTCGGCAACGGCGGCCCACCGAGTCCGGCGCACAGCGACTCGGACGCGTCCAGCTCCAGCTTGGAACTGGGTTCCATCAGGGGGGCCGAGAACGCTCAATTAAAATGCAGGTAAGAACGAAACGTCCTAGTAAATCTGATAATGTAAGGCCTTGTGAGATAGCCATTATCGATTTGTACGCGACTCCTTACTAATGCGCTGACTGTCACTGAATAGATTTTATAGTTTGAAAATAGCGGCTCTTATCAATTTTCGCTCGGGAAGAAACCGAGGCAAAAAATCCGTGGAAAAATATGCAAAATTCCGGGATTTTCCCACTTTTTCGCTCACCCGCGGAAAGAAACTGAAGAAACCCATACGGAAAAATAGGAAAGAATCGGATTTCTCCCGAGCCTTTAACTTAAACCATATTATTATTTTCTGTCATTTTATATTGCTTCGATTAATTTTTACCACTTGACTAAATCTTAAAATCGTCAAGGCTACGATAAATCGATGCAATTCACAATGCATGTATTCGTTGGTTCGCTTCATTATCAACTTCCTATCGGCTGAATGTTTAATAAGTGAATTTAATTTGTTAAACGCAATTTCGGGGAGTTACGTTTTGTAGATGAATTAACGAGAGACGAGCGATACTTATGTTACTTATATTCGTATATTTAAAGCGCCCGGCGCGGCAGTCGGCGTGTTAATTCTCTCGCGAGTAAAATAGAAAATAACGCCGTGCGAAGGTCGGAGGGGCAGTGGTTCTCGCGGTTCTCCATTCGCGAATCTCGACTTGCAACCGAGAAGCGCAAAAAGCAGCGTGGAATCAGAGATCGTCCGGAGGAGTCGACTGGACATATTTTTCCGCGGGTGCACTGCACTCGCCATTATTATTGTTGTTAAAGGACCAATTAAGATAGTACCGGGGGCTGATAAAGACGCGACATCGCGCTCTCGCATCGGACGAATTCACTATCTTTGCTAGACGTCGCTGAGAGGAGACAGAGAGAGAGAGAGAACAGATGACTATTGTTTGCGCAATTCGCGTCACATTTCAACTCAGCATTGGTCTAATGCTTGTTTACGATTTAGGTTTATATACAATATAGATAGCCGCTCGCTTGACGCGTTTAGCTCTGTGCGATATATATATATATATATAATATACATGTATGTATATGTATATATGTATATATGTGTGTATATGAAATCCCGTAAGCCAAATGCAACACAGATTTGTTTCATATCAGTCAATACGTTTAAATCTTTATCCTTATCTTCACTGACGCTGTACTTTTCTCTCTCTCTCTTTCACTCTTTTTCTCTCTCCCTTCGGGCCGCTGCCACAGCTTGCCACCGGCTTCTCCGTACTTTGCACCTAGCGCTTCCTAAAAATGCGTTTATCTTAATTTTCTATTTACATTCTTTCCTCCCGCGGTATCTTTGTTATATCTCTCTCTCTCTCTCTCTCTCGTATACAATATCTCCCGACACGACTCTCCTAATCTCTCGGGATTTTTCATTGTGCCGGAGCTACGCCGCCACTTCATCCGATAACTTTATAGTGAATCGAAACGATAAGGGGCCGAGAGCAAGCGGAGTTACAGCGTATGTAACTCTACGCTCGTCTCGCGTGTCTACCGTGTCTATCGTAGATATCGGCAAGTTTATCGCGTCCCGGGGCGATCAGGTGTGACGTCCGCGCTTCGGTTTGCATTTCGTCGGCGTTCGCCATTCCTCTCGAAACAGCGCTCGCTAATTTGTATATCTCCCGACGTAACTCTCGCGAATAGCTCGCGAATCGCGCGCGCGTCTTCCACATACGCGCGTGCCGCGTGCGCACCAGTTGTAACCAGTTTTCCGTATCTCCCGCTGATATCGGAAGGGGCTTTCCGCTCGTCGGAGATTCAGAGAAAATTCTGTAACTCGACTCCGACGATGATGAGAAAAGGAGAGAGAAAAGCAACGCATCTTCCATCTGAAAACGGTCCCGCGCGAGATTAAAAACTCGGAGCTCGCGCGGGATCGCTCACACGGGCTTACGCGTTTCTTTTTCTCCACGGTAATCGAGATCCGCTCGATCGACAGATAACGGACGCTGCGTCACAGAAGGGGACATTTTTGATCGCGATAAGCAGCAGGCTTGCACAGTCAGCTCGATTTTGTATCCAAAGTCTACGCACCGACGATAAAATTTTAGACTCAACAGAACGGGACGATAACGTTGTCAGTCTCCATAATAATAAACCGGGAAGGAGGAGAAAACGCGCGCATCGATGATCATTATGAGGCGCGACGGACGCTAAATGCTATATTGTTCGAGCATTTCTTTCGCAACCGGTTTATCTTTCTAATACATGAGCGTCGAGTGACGACGCGCGTCGACGGAGTCTCTCGGCTTTATTGCTCGACATTATCTATGACTCCAGTACATCAAATGACGAGCATTATCAGAGGAAGGGAGAGGAGGGTGGGAGCAAGAGAGCTCACTGTTACCATTTACGCAAAGGAGCTGCTTCTTTCACGTGATCTACACGTGAAAGCTGAAGCATTTCCTTATCACGAGGAATACCGTGTGTCCTCCATTCGATGCTCTCCACGGCATCCACATATTCACCACGTTGAGTCTCTCTTGTAATCGTCTCAGCTCAGAATTCTCCGGGTCGAAATCTCACTCCTACTTTTAAGTCTTTATTTAATTTTCATTTGGTTCTGCGTTAAGCGTTCAATGGCTCGATCTTCTATTGTTCTCCTTTGATGCTGCATAGAAAAAGATAGTCTCAAATCAAGAATAGATATTCTCATATATAAGCAAGTATATATTAGAATCTTTTTAGAATATTTTTAACCTTGATCTGATTGAATCTGTATTGATGCAAATATTACTTGAATGAAAATTAAGACCAAATTCCCTTTATGGTATCAAAGAGGCACTTGTACTATTTATGTAGAATTTAAAATTTCGACTCGGCCCACCTCTTTTTTAACGATCGTTCGTGAACCCGTCTTCGAGAACCTCCCGTCGCGAAATCGCACTTCGCCAGAGCTTCGCGCAGTATATTTGCCAATGAAAAAAAGAGTGCGGTTGGTCAGGGACGTCTTATATATAGCGCATTATGCGTCGACGTCATATTAGGTAATAACGGCGCAGTTAATTTATAACGGCTGTAATATAAGGCAGCGACGATGAATATATATATATATATATTTTATATATAATTTACATATAATTCCCCGAAATTGCATATATATATATATATATATATATATATATGCAATTTCGGGGAATTATATATATATGAATAATACACGACCCCGTGTTCGATTCTTGGCCACCTCGCGAGCCACCAAAATTGAAGGCAAGACCCACCACGGGGGTCCGGCCCGATCAAATCACTCGGGATTACCTTGATCCGCGACCTCCCGCGGACGGATCCGTGCCTCTGTTAATTGGCGGAATTCGTAGTCGTTGACTGGAATAGTACCCGAACTCCGGTCTCTTACGATAAACTGGTGTCAACCGGCGGCAATTGCAAAATGGCCGGAATTGGTATCAATTGGACGAGTCAGCGTACGTGCTCGTGACGCAAATCACATGTCGATATTTCAGTGCGCCTCCCCTAAGCCGGAATGCTATATTTACGCATCGCCGTCGATTAGTCACGGCTCGCGTTTCGCGCCGCACGCGAAGAATCGCCTCCGATTCTCCAGGACCGTCGAACGCTCGTCCTCGATGCAACGTTCGAAGGACCAAGAGAGAGAGAGAGAGATGTGTATGAGCAGGGTGGGAGGGAAACCGCGTTACTCGCGACGTGGTCATTGCTGCGAGATGCTTTTTTCGCTGAAGTTTTAGTAACGATGTTTCTTTTTCTAACGGTAACGCAATTACATTTTCTCGGATAACATTAATGGATGGAATCGTCACTTTTATCGTTACTCTGCACACGTAGAATATATATACTGTGATCAAAAAGTGTCCGAACTTTATTTTTAAAAATCAAAATAACAATTCCATCATCAAAATTCTTAGTCTCCTTCAAAATAGTTCCCATTGCTTAGAACGCTCATATGCTAGCGTTTGATCCAGTTCTGGAAACATCGCTCATACACGGCAGACGTGTGAGACGTATGGCCTTCAGTTCACGCAGCGATTTTTCTTCGATATCCTCAATTGATTCGAAACGCTGTCCATAAAGTGGTTTTTTTCAGTAGGGGGAACGGGAAAAAGTCGCAGGGGGTAATGTCTGGTGAATACGGTGCTTGCGGAGCGACATTCGTTGAGTATTTTGTCCAGAAATTCACACACAAGTGTCGAGGCGTGCGATGGTGCGTTGTCGTGATGCAAAATCCACGAGTTGGTTTCCCACAATTCCGGCCGTTTTTTTACGGATCGCTTCGCGCCTCATGAAGGGACAAGTAGTATATAAGATATTAATTTCCTTCTTTCTCTCTCTACAGATGGCAAAATTGCGACAAAAGGTTCGCGTCCCTGGAGCAACTCGCGGGTCATGTGGCGAGGTTGCACGCGGCCCCGGGCGCGCGAGGTCTCTTCTACTGCGGATGGGAAGGCTGCCCGAGGGGCGAGCGTGGATTTAACGCGAGGTAAGATCCCTTGCGGCACACGCCGAAAAATATATACCGCATTCAAGTAAATGTTATTTGCTTCAAATGTTTCGTCAGTTTATATATCACATTATTATATATAAGCGTCAAATTTATTCAAGATGTATCCTGATATAAACTCAGTATATTTCAACTAAGAATATTAAATTAAAACGAAACTTAAATTAAAACAAACTTCGGGTTTATATACTTATTCGAATTAATCGAATTTAACTTTTCTTCGATAAAATTTATAATAATATTCTGGAAAAGAGAGTAAATCCTTCTGAGTAAGTGATAATGAGCTTTCCGGAAATTTGTGATGAGCATGTTTTAAGACCGTTATCGAGAAAATATTCTCTATTTAAAATAATTATCATTTACAAGAAGAAGGAAAGTAACTCGAATAATCGCCTTTTATCAGTAAAATGATATTTTTCTCTGTGCGCTACGTCGGTGGCACTCGTGCATATCTGCTGACCGGCGGGATTGTCTCACGCGCAGGTACAAAATGCTGGTCCACGTGCGCACGCACACGAACGAGAAGCCGCATCACTGCTTCCAATGCGACAAGAGCTTCAGCCGGGCGGAGAACCTGAAGATCCACGCGCGCTCGCACACCGGCGAGCGGCCGTACGTCTGCCCGGTCGAAGGTTGCAACAAGGCCTACTCGAATTCCTCGGACCGATTCAAGCACACCCGCACGCACTCGGTGGACAAGCCGTACGGCTGCAAAGTGCCAGGCTGCCCGAAGAGGTACACCGACCCGTCGTCCTTGAGAAAGCACGTCAAGACCTACCGCCATTACGTGAACAACAACGACAAGCTTCAAGAGAAGAGCTTCGACGACGGCAACGTCCACCATCCGGAGAAGACGCCGACGAGATACGACGCGCTCTCGCCGGACAAGCAGAGCAGCAGCGCGCACTCCGAGTCGGACTCGAAGAAGGACTCGAGCATCGAGAGCAACACTTCGGCCTCCAGCCCGAAGGCCAGCAACAGCTTCGAGGAGCAGCGCAACTTCGTCGAGTGGAAGAACATGTACAATCTGCAGGAGCAACGGAAAGAGCAGGAGCAGCCGGTGATCAGCCCGGCGAAGCCGTACGAGGAGGACGTGAAGATCTACTCGACGATGTTTGACGAAAGCTACATCTTACCGGAGAGGATCCAGGCGAATCCCCTGTACGCTTCCGCCGGAGGCAACGCCATCATCAAGGACCGCTCCGCGATGTCCTCGCCGCCGCACGCGAGCCCGGGCCGCTTGTCTGACACGATGCCGCGCATCGGCATGCAATCGACGCCCATAAAGAGCGAGGAGCCGATGGACTGCGGCGGCTGCACCAAGACCACCATCAGCACCACCAGCAGCAGCACCGCCAGCACGACGGTCGACTACAGGAACATCGACTCGATCGTCAACAGCACGCCCTGCAAGAAGGAGAACACGATCGACCCGGTGAGGCACTCGGTGATCAAGCGTGCCGAAGACGTGAAAATGGAGGTGGTGCAGATGGAGCACACGCCGCTCAAGGAGGAGTACAAGGACGCCGCCGGCGACTGCTGCTGCCGGCACAAGTGCTGCGTGCACAGCAACGACGGCTTCCTCGGCAAGTCGCTGTTGTCCGACCTGATCCTCCGTGCGCGGGACCCCGTGGTTCAGCGCTTGCTGCATTCGGTGGAGCTGCAGTACGGGCTGCATAACGTTTGGAGCAACATCGCCGACACCGGCAACACCTGCGGCCTCAGGCTGAAAAACGAGGCCGTCGTCGAGATGGAGCAGGACCTGCCGTTAGACTTGACGGTCAACAAGTAGAAAAAGCAATCGGAAGATCGGCTCGTGGGAAACCAAAAGAAAACCGGAGGGGAAAAAATTCACAGATATCCGGGAGAAATTTCTCCATATATAATTAGATGTAATTCTATGTAATTAAATGTAATTATATATAGAGCATCATATATATAGAATATGTCCATGTATAAAAATATATAATTATATATTAATATATATAATGAGAGAGAGAGAGAGAGAGAGAGAGAGTTATATATGATTATATATAAATATATGTATAATTATATATATAATAGATTAATTATAAATAATTATTATACATATTATATATAATAATTATATATAATCATTATTATATATATAATATATAATGATATATCTATATGTGTATATATGGACATATTCTATATGACAATTATATATGAGAAATTATTTCCCCCGGATATAACCCTTAGGCAAAAAGAAAGAAAAAACTCGGTTCGTGTAACTGACCTTCTATCAATCGCAGGCCAGACGAGGACACGGTTGTAGGAACAAAGAAATTCCTACGAGGGATCCCCTGTTCCGTCACAAATTTGTGTGTCTTCAGTTATCTCGACCGAGTATAAGCGCGACTGAACGTTCAGACGAACGTTTTCGGCCGCGATAACGAAGACCATTTCTTGCCACTGAGTGTTCGTCTAGTCCCAGTTCTGTTACACGAACTGAGATTCCGTTTCGCTCGCATTCGTTGATAGAAATCATCATTCCTTGTCGTCGTTCTAAAACGCGGATCGGACGGAGAAAAGACGGCGAATTTCGGCCGCGACTCGCGACGGTAATTCAACGAGATCGGTTCAACAAACCGAGATCGTTTCTCAGATCAGACTGCGAAACCAAATATATTTTAATACACCGTAATGAGATATGACGAGACGGAGGCAGTCGGAGGTCGAACAATAGCTTGCTCAATCCGCTCTAAGTGGCCGAACTAAATTGATATCACACCGATTGGACTGTTAATCAGAGATAATCAATATGTTGGTACGCTAGACACGATTCATTGTCATTAGGAATGCCTTGATCAACACGCTCCCGAGGGTAGGCGTTCTTGATTTCGTCTTAAAACTAGTGTCGCCGTATGAATACTAACGCTAATACGATAAGAGCGGAATTTCCAACCGGGGACGTTTGTTACACGACTGTAAATATATTTAAAAGTTACTTAAAAGTTTCGAGAAAATTGGTTTTTGCATCCTAATTAGTCTGTTACGTTAGAATCGATTTATAAGACAAAGAGTTATGTTTTTTCCTTTATATAATATAATGCCATAATGTTCAACACGATCTTCCTAGATAAATTGTAATGTTCATGTAAACAAAAGTATGTATAATATATGTATATATAGACGTTTATATATTATATATATATGTGTATATGTGTACGTAAAGAGTCAGTTATGGAATGAAATAACATGAAAAAGGCGCAAAGTGGCACTTCTTCGTTAAGCAGAGCATGTTTAACGATGTAAACTACATATTTCCATAACAAATATATTATTTATATCAACTTCGTTTATACCCTTTCCACGCGCGACTAATAATTCGTATTTATTCATCTACGTAGCTTTATTTAACTAAAAATTTTTTTTACGACTTGGTTGCTACGGCCTCGATTTTTCATTCAAAACAGTGGCGACTCGCAACGGAGAATTTAGAACTAACGGAGCCGCAAATAAGGGGTCTAAGTGTAACGGGCCTAAGTCGCTGTACCGTAGCAAAGCTTACCTGAAATTTTAACGTTAGTGCTAGCCAGAATGGAGTGAATACAAAAAACAAAGCTTTTGTAGAAAAAGGGAGAAGAAATAGTCAAGATCGAAGGTATTGAACTTTGCACACTTCTTTCTTTTTCTTGTCTCTCTGACTCGTTAGCGAAATGCATTTAATATAAGCAGATTTAAGTGAAACTTAACACCTTCAACTATTGGTTATAAAAGGGCATCTCATTTTAATATCCCTCCTTCTTTTTCCTCTACGATTCCTTTACTTTGCGTTTTGGCCAACAGACAGATTCAGAAGAATAACCCCACTCTATATAACATACATAATTCTAACAGATCGTAAGTTATAGAAACTGAAAAGTAAACGTCTATATTGCGCAGACTACAAAATCGAAAAAAAATTGACACTATATAAAATACACGGGAGTTATATGTTCGGTAAAATTTCACGATAACATCTTTTTTTATCAATATCGAATTGAAAAATCAACGTGGAATTGAATCGAATTGAAGGACATCGAGACGATGATCGACTTTCTTGTAAAAAGAATCGAACATCGACTTACTGAGCGATTATTGTCCGACTCTATGGCAGACGATAAACACAATTTAGTCTAACCTAACCTAACTACTTATTAAAGAGCTGCTTCGTTTGGGAGCAGCAAGTGATATCTTAGGAAGATAACGTCAACATCCGATCGCAATGGCGAACGATCGGGAAGTGCTTCGGGAAATCTGGGATGGTAAAATCCCAGTTTGTTTCACTCTGGATTCGGAGGAGACGTGCGAATTGCAAGGACCGGATCCTTTTTATCTAATGGTACCTAGGTTAAGTTACTTCCCACTGTGTACAGAGAAGGTGAGTCATTACAATATACCAGAATGTTGCTATATACTGCCGTTCATACATAATGACACTTAATATTCTTGATTTGAGGTAAGGAAACACTTCATACGGCACATACAGAGTGGCAGTAAACAAGAGCACGAGATGTGGCTGGAATTCAACGGAATTCCATTGAAATGGCACTACCCCATCGGTGTCCTGTTAGACATTTACTTCAATGACATTCAGTTGCCTTGGAACATCGTTGTCCACTTCGACAAATTTCCAGAAAATGTTCTGATGCACTGCCAAAATAAGTGCGTATACGAGCTTTCAAATATAATACATATGAACACACGTGATACAATTAATCATACACAATTTCAGGGAAGTCGTAGAGGCCCATTTTCTCTCCTGCATAAAAGAGGCGGACGTTCTGAAGCACAGGGGGCAAATTGTATCTAGTATGCAGAAGAAAGACCACACGCAGTTGTGGAACGGTATCATGAATGACAAATTCGATCAGTTCTGGTCCGTGAATGGCAGGCTCATGGAGGCTACGACCGAGGAAGGATTCAAATACATACCATTCCGATGTTATACTAGCGAGGATAAATATGTACAGAAACTGGTGAGGCCGATAAACGAAGAAGGCCAAAGAAAAACATTGAAGCATTTGTTAAATGAAGTGTTCCCGGATCAAGAAAATGGTAATGTCCTCTACAAGTCTCGCGTGTGAAAAAAGGATTTGTAATATAATTATTTAGTTAACAATAATAATATATAATAATTTAATTCCGCATACTAATTATACAACATACGCGGAATTAAATTATTTGGTTGCAATAATCAAATCTTTGGTCGACAAATATTCACAAAATTTTCCAATGTACCCTTTCGTTTATTTGTGACGAAATTAAAACTGGCAAATTGTAATTTTGCAGTTACCGTGCGCACTCACGGTATCATACCACCGTTGGAAACGCCGCTTCAATGGATGGCGGAGCATCTAAGTTATCCGGACAATTTTCTGCATCTAATTGTCATCACATCGTAACGCCTAATGAAGATCGGATAATTCCACCACTCAGTGATAATAAATAATATCTCTGCCCTATTGCGTACTTTATTTTTGTTATGTTTTTTTATTGTGATATATATTTATTTCAGGATAGAATGTACTATTACTTTTATCACAAAGTGTATTTTGCGGATTAAAGGGGCGATTGCGACGACCAATTGAGGGATAAGATCGAGTGTGTGAGGGGAATGTATTGTGATATCACGTATTGCGATATTTGTACATTAGGATTCCCGCCAGATTCTAAGTAGATTTTAATCACGTATAAATTGTATGTAAATGACGAGATTCACGGTTGCGAATAATTGTTCGGGATATTTTGAAACATCACTGATATCAATGGACATCAACAATGTCGGAGCGAACAAACAAATTTATTGAGCTAATAATTAATTGGAACGTGTTTTGTTCATTAAATTATCATACAATTTCCTCCCGGCTTTTAATATCTGCGAGGATAAGTGAACATTCTCTCTAATCACCGAATCTACGGGTTTGCGTATAATGACGGGTTGATTTCCGTTACTGCTGTACTCCATCGTCCTGCGGCTGTCCCCGAAACTGAGATAGTTGACTTCCTTCCTTCTACTCTGCAGCTCCTTTAACGCGGAGGTAAAAAGTTATACTTACATTTTATTTTTTTTAATTTATATAGTTCGAATTTCGTTTGTTATCGTTACTTTAAATATCACCATCGCAGTGTCTTGATATCTCCTGTGTATCTCTTCCCTACTTAAAATAATGTTCACCTCTGGAGACTCATAACAGGCGGTCATCTGTGTGTTCTATTGTTATCTTGTTTGTGCATTTAACACGTGTCCTTACGATGTCCTCCCTTCACGTCTCCAACATTCGTATTCCTGCAATTTTTAAAAACAGCGTTGAAACCGACATTTCCTCGCGAATATATAGAGTGATATGGTGCGTATTGTTATGAGCGCAAGTGAATATGTGTGTGAAGTAATATTAAATGTAAGGGGTGAAACGGTGGAAGAAAAAAGATTCCTACTGGGATAGCTAAGAGAATCTACAACTTCAGCAATATATATCTCGTAATCAGATAATATCTCTCAAATCCAACAAGATAATTGAAATTTTTTCCCGTTATAGAAACCACGAGATGGATCAGCGATCATCGATCAATACATCGACGCTCACATGGAACCATATTGAGGCTCGGCTAAATTAATTAAAAATGATTTCCGCCTTGACTACATCGATTTTGTAGTTCAAACCCGCTTTAGCCACTTAAAATCACTTTAGGCGAGACTCAAGTCACAATTGTGAGATTCATTTCACACTTGTTTAGTCAGGACTCAAACCAAGATGGTTTGAGACTTGATTAAACTAATTTAAAATAGTTTGAATCTCGGCCAATTTCACGATCGAAACATCTTTCAGAAAACTTTTTAGTTGAAACTCAAATTATTTTACAATTGTTCAGCCGGGATTCGAAGCTAAATAGTTGGAGTCTTGAGTTAAACGAATTTTGAACCGATTTTGCGGTTCGAAACTCTTAAAATCGCTTGAACCAAGGCTCAAACTATCTTATACACATTTAGTTGAGACTCAAACCAGAATGGCTCTGGCAAAAACGGAGGAAACTCAGGGAAACGTGCTTGGAAAATCCGTGTCACACGGATTTATTTAGGAAAAACTTTCCAGCAAGTTGAAGTAAAAAGAAAAAAAAACTGGAAAATCTGGAGGAAACCATTGAACATTTCTTCGGTGCAAGTCAGTCATATATGAAAGCGAATAACAAGTCCGTCGGATCAGGGCTGAGGGAAGGTCTCTGATACATCGCTCGCCGTCTCGTCGGGCTTTATCTTTGATCTATAATCGAAGGGGGAGAGAACGTGCGGTGATATGTAGGACGTAGAAACCGCGGCCGTGGGCTATTGTGTTTAATGAAAATTCATGAGCGACAATAGTATCTGGCAAAATAGCGCGTTATTTGCCAGACGTGTGCCGCTATCCGTTACACCGTGTATCAGGATAACGTGCCGATTTCACGTTTTGCAGCACACTTCTCGCCGGGTCTTACCTTGCGGCCGAGACGAGCGGGAAGTCGGCGCAACGGAAGAATCATCGCCGAAACCTCGGACTCTCGTCCGTCTACTGATCCGCGTCCCGCAAACAGAGGAACGGTCGCATCGGCACGTTGGAGCGACGCCAAAATCCTTTTCGTACGCTCTCGTATTTCCGGCCCGGCGCTAATCGATCCAGGGTGCTCTCCGAGCGCGGCTGAGCGGCCAGCGAACCGTTCGATTCGCGATTATTTCTTATCACCGATTGCCGTGTATCACTGACGCTTGCAACGCGTTTCTTTTCGAAACGCGCATGATGTCATCTCCATCTTCGGGCTCGGACTCAGTCTCTCCGTTGGCTCGAGCATCGAGATTGAGGCTGTCAAAGTGAGAGGGACCCCGAAACACAAAAAGATACGAAAAATTATAATTACAGTAGATATGAATGCAGAATTGTACGAAAACTTTGATTTAGGTTGTATTGTAGATTCCTAGGGAACAATTTTTATATGCAATTAAATGTTATTTAAAAGACCATAAAAATTTTATATATGAATAAAGCGATAGCAAGATTATTTAATAATAAAGTGAGATGCTAAAATGTGAGATAATTTATTAAAGTTAATATTTCACACGCATACATACACACACATATACACGCATTAATATTGATATTTTATGAATTAATATCTGCTATAATTATTATTCGTCGTGTCTTTTTAATTATCCGGAATCGACCTGCGACGGGGGTTTCCTTCTCGATAATATCGTGCGGCCGGAATGTTGCATTCCGTCGAAGCCAACGACTTTTTTTCATTCTTTAGCATCACGCTACTGCACCCTTCCTAATAACGTCGCACCAGCCGGTGACATTTATTGCTGTTGATTGACGCGTTGCAACAGTCATGCTTCGATTCAAGGTCTGCTTTGCGCGCATGCGGTGGCCTTAATAAAAAACGGCTGGTGTTGTCATTATCGCCGGTTTAACAGAGTGAGAGCAAGAGAGAGAGAGAGAGATAGAGAGAAAGAGAGACTTCGGCAAATCCGTCACTCGAAGGATCCACATTCCTTGCCGACTTCCCGCTTTAAATTAATGGGCTTCGTCGCTCATAAATAACACACGAGGCGACACGCGCGTTTTCCGCACGCAATTCCCAACTGATACAATTTAGCTCAAGAGTCCGCAGAATGTAAAAAATGTGCGCGAGAGAATTCTGACGAACCCCCGGAAAAACTCAAAAACTCAGTCCTCTGCTGGAGATGCGCCGTCGGTTAATCAGGGAATCGACTATCCCACCGTTGGTAAAGCAGCGAACTGCTTCGCGGCGCCCATGTCGCAATGGGACACTTGACGCTGGCGGCGCGGTCAGTTCACCCGTGCATTTTATTTATTTCGCATGAGAGGGAAAGAGAGAGAGGAAGGAAGGGGAACGCGTGCGGATGGAAAATGAAATTGAATTTCATCTGCCGCGCGCTTAACTGCACGATAACGATTGCTCAATCTGCTCAGGTGCATTGGCACCGAGTCGCTCTCATGTTGCAACATGAACACGAACGTGCACCAGTTGAACGATACCTTTTCCCGTCCGAGCGACAAATCGAAATGTCGAATTAGTAGCGAGGAAATTTCTTCCCCGAGCGATTTTAATTTCACTTAACAATAGGAATTCGCAATCATCGATTCGACCGATGGAGGACAAAGAGTCCGACGTGTGTCTGAAAGACATCTCAAAGACGCTCTTTCGATTTTTTTATTATCTAAAAAATGTCTTTACGATGTTTCAGGGTGTCTTAATGTCATCTGGAAGGGGATTTCGTCGACGGGAGGGTATTTTTCGGCCCCCGAGGGAACGTGCGTTCTTTTCATTTTTATCAATGCGATCGTCGAAAAGAACGCTTTTAACGCGCACGCGTCACGAATGCACGGCCGGCAATTACCAAGTAAAAGTAAAATTAATATTTCGCCAGTGATTTGCAACGCAACTACCAGCTGTTCGCCGCCGATTCCTCACCACCACCACGACCATTAGCTCTAACGCGTTAGCGAGATAATCGCGCGTTGGTGCGCGTGAAAATGCGTGATTCACTTAATATTTTCCTTTCCTTTTAATAGCGAGCGTTTTATTCCCTGTTACCGGACTCGCGCGACGATAATCATCGGCGATAAATCATGCATTTGCATAGCAGGAATCGACTATGCGCCGTGCATTCTCCAGATCGTTGCGCGCGCGATCGCGCGAGATCTCAAGTCCCGTATGCGAGATAATCGCGCTCGCGGACAAGTCCGAGCAAAATCGGGGTCGACGTGTCTTTTTGTATTCGTTAAATCCAAAAGAGAGAGGGAGAGAGAGAGAGAGGGGGGTTTTGCGATTAACGATCGCACCGGCTATTACCGAGAAACGCATTCTCTTGGAAAAACGCGGAAAACCGCGAGGAAAAGCCGAGCGCCGGCCGTAGTTGGCATTCGCGCGCGAATGTTCTGCACATTTCTGCTTTAAGCTGGGTGCACATTGAGCGGACGAACGGCGAATCTGGACTTTCGTTGCTACGATTTGAAACACACGTGCGCTTCGAACGAATCCGAACAGAATGTTTCGGGCCGGAGATACTTGCGTGAAATTGCGTTAAAATCATCGCGACGAGTATCAAATTCAGATTTTATCGAGAATATCGGAATACGTTTCTCCCGGAAAGTATTCACCGGACAGAAAAATCGTACTTATTTTACAAAACCAGAAATACACTTACAAGTTGGCAACAGCAACGCTCGATTGAAGAGACTGAAAAACAGGTAATTACATTTACGTGATCCTCGCGCTTCTTTCTCCCGCGTATTACACATTCGCCGTTCGTTCGCTGTACGTTCGCTCGGTTTCAGCCGGCTTTACGCGAATCGCGAATGCGTGCCCAGGAGAGTCAAGCGCGTTCCGTCGGCACGCAGACGCGCCGGTTTCGCCCGCGGGTTGCCAATATCGGGCCGCGATAACGGAAACAATGCATCGACGCATCGCGAGCGATGTGCGTGCGAGCTCCTATGAGCTGGCACGCGCTTATCTCCGTCGCGCCTTTAATCCATCTGGAAGAGGCTCGAGCGTGATATCGCCGACGGGGGGAACGAGCGCTACCAACAGACGCGAGGCTCGCGCGAAATTGCGTAAATCGCTAATTGCGCGAGCGAGGAGCGCGATCTTGTGCCGGTATTTCGCTCGAGGACCGATTTCCTCCGGCTCCCCGGTCTGTCGGAGATGCGGCAACCGTCTCTCTCCGCGCGAAGAGGAAGGCCTCTCGACTCGAAATTTATCGGATCGAGGAGATGGGAAGATTACGATCCACTTCGCCGGTGAATACGAGCGCGATCCGAGATCTTCAACGGCAATAATTGTGCACTCGTCGAGTCTAATCGCACGGAGCATTGTTGAAGCGCGCGCAGCGAGCGCGGAGGATTTATGGGGCACGATGAATTTCATCGAGGAGTGCGCGATATATTGCGAAACGCGGCCGTTTATCGACGTTACGATAAGAGCGCGGGTGGTCGACGATAGTGAGAATTCAGTTTTCGACTGAAATCGATATAGAATATTCGTTCTCGGTCCCGGCCCGGAACTGAAAAAGCCCGGTTTCGATCGGTCACTGGTAGGTCGGTTGTATATTTCGCGATCCGAGCGGAAATGGATCGACCGGAGAATGGGACAGGTTTTCTCTCTTTCTCTTTCTCCGTGCGCCATCACCACGTAACCGCTGAAATGCTCGCTCGGCCGGAAGATAAGCGGGGCGCTTACACGGTTTGCGGAATCGCGTGAGAAAGAGAAAGAGGGGGAAAGAAAGACGGTCCGTGAATCATAACGCGGCGAAAGAAGCAGCTATTGCGTCAAACGCGGCAATACAGACGTTTGTTCCGCGCACAGTCGTAAGGAATCGTCGGTTTCGGGTAAAAAATACGCTTCGAATCGGATCGATGGAACGTCGCGCGTTCGGCCGCGATCGATAACGCCGCACGGGGCTTTAACTGACCGACGAACATTGCGAGATTGTCGCGAAGCGAGTCCACTTTTACCCGCCTCTCCTTTCTTTTATCGTTGATCCATCACTCGCGCGTTCAGCCGCGAATCGTGATCTACGAACGAGCGGCTCGTCCTCGCGAAGAAGTGCGGGGCGAACGAACGCGTTCGACCTTCCGCCGGAAATTATGTATTGACCGTCTCTCTCGAATTAATGCTCAAATTATCATGGTAATAATATTGTTTCAGCTCACGTCTGCGACGGACAGCGTTCTGCACAAACTTCACCGGCGGAAATTAATGGCGGACTGTGTGAGTGTGAGCGCGCGCGCGCGCGCACGGTAGGGAATATTTTATATTTGTGTGAAAATCTTCGTGCTAAATTCCAAACATGCCCGTGAGTTAACACATCGTGCTACGTATCGTCTCGATATATTTTATGTTGACTCGATATTCAATATGTGTGTGAAAATATAACATTTTCACGTGTTAAAATAACGCATTTCGCATTTTAATATCGATTAAACATATCACGGGTACGATTTCGTGTTGATTATTGCGATACTTCTTGACACATTCGGTTTGCGTGAAATTAACAGAGAAATTTGTGCGAACCGTTGTTTGGAATATGCAAAATGCGTTGAATATACAACATAGAACCTTTTTCACTGTTGCACGCGCACCTTGAAGGAAAAATCCGACGGGCGTGGGGAGGGAAATGAGAGAACGCTTCTGCTTAGTTTTGTTTCGTTTTTCGTTTGTTTTTCTTTTCATAATTTTTATTTAACAACCGCTTATATTTCTTTTCTCAAATATAATACAATACTTAACTCTGGATCACACGCGCGCAAAGGGACGAGATGGACGGGGGAGGGGGGAGAGGGGGAGATGCGGGGTACGCGGAGGGCACCCCCGCGTGGATGAGTTTAAATTAAATAGGAAGAGAGTAATCCAGTGTTAATTACAATCATTTCTGCGTCTGCGGACGTAACTAAAAAGGAGAATCCCGCATCTCGATGCCTTTCTCTCGCGCGCTCCTCTCGCGGCACGAAGATCCGTGCACATTTTCGCTTCTCTCCGACACTTTCCTATGCGCACGCACGTTCGTCACACGTGCGCACATACACACACACACACACACACGGAGAGAAAGAGAGAGAGAGAGCATTCCCTCTCTTTCTCTCTTTTTCTCTCATTCTCCCGTTCGCTTCCTCCCGATGAATCACAATAACGGATATGGTCGTTTCGGGCGAAACTCATCAATGAGAAAAAGGCTCGCACGAGCGGACGAGTATGTAAACGAATGAACGAACGACGCGATAAAACGACGAATACGAACTGATAACGTCGCTCTCGTTGACTACCCCTCGTGTCTCTGACAGGTGGCGGATTGTCCGCGACGCGGAAATACTTTTAGAAAATTATCCGACCGCCGTCTTTCAACTATCGCGCTATCCGAGCTGCCGGAGGTGCTGTTGCTGCCGCGCGTCCCTCGTGTTTCTCTTTTCCTTCTCGACGTTTACCGACGCGCGTGTCAACAAAGACGCGCGAGATAACGCAATAAAAACGACCCGACGAATGAGACGGGAGGGAGGAGGGGGAGATTCGACGGTTTTTGCTAAGCGCACGATCGGGAAGGCGTACGAACGACTACGGCCGACGGAGGCTCGTGCAAAACTCGACGAGCTCCTCCGCAGGATCGGGAGGATCCTTACATGTCGCTGTCAGCGGACACACGATTACATAATAAATAAGGAATAGTTCGAATACTGATATCATACGCTTGCGCGGGAGGAGGGCCACTGTGGCTTGCCGTTTTGTTTTTCTTCCTCTCTTTCTCTTGCTTCTTTAATCTTTTTACACATCTTTTCGTTTAATTTTGCCGGGAGAACCTCACGACTCCCCGGTCAAAGTGCGGCAGACGTTGCGACGGGCGCATTTTGGTCCTGCTTTTTTCGACTCCTCCTCGAGCGGGAAACTCCGTAAGGCACGAGCGACTCGAAGGCACCGGGGCGTGATATTAGAGAGGCGCGTTCGTCGTGTAAGATAATCGTATCAAAATATAACTTTTGACGTATGTATATGTATATATATATATATAGATATTTATATATATAGATATATATATATATATATATATTTCTCTCTCTATATGTGCTCTGATCTCTGTTTAATTTCATAGTTTCTTTTCCCCTTTTGCGAACATATATCTATGTACACGTATAAATTTCTCTCTCTCTCTCTCTTTCTCTCTCTTTGTACACGGTTACGCTTATGAATATATTTACTTGTCTGTTACGCGGACTATAAAACGCGGGGGTTCGCCCACGAGACTCCTCCACTTCGCTTAGAAAATATTATCTATATATATATACGCCTTATGCCTCGTTAATAGACTCTTGTGGGCTGTGGTACATACGACGGGACGCACGCACGCACACGCACATACATACGACGGACGACCGCACGCACTTGTACAGATAGAACGCATTAACACACACACACACACGCAGTATCTCTAAGGCACTCTGGCTGATTTTTCGCACTATCGAGCACGCTCCTTTCGTCAGTCATTCGACGCTTTATTATGTAAAACGTTATGGCATTATGTCATTCATTATGGCTTACGATTACGCTAAGTTTTATTGTACACTGTCTCGCCCTGACCATTACAACAATCGCAAGGTACAGTCCTATTTTCCTTGTCGAGCTCGCCTCTTCCTCTTCCCATCAGAGGATCACTCTTGATCTGTTGAATCTTGCCGTATTAATTTTATTCATATTCTCGTCTCTATATTATGCGTTAAGAAAACAAGTGATCTCTTTTAACGTTCTTATACAGAAAAGAATAACCTTAAATCAATAATAGATATTCCTCACATATAACTAACATTAATAATATCTTTCATTTTGAATGAAGTGCAAGTAATACCTGCATCGATAGAAACTCAATCAAATAAGAACGGAAAGAATTCTTTAAGACGATTATAACATTCTCGCTTATATATGAGAATATCTCTTCCTGATCTAAGAGTAATTTTTTTCTGCATGCTTGGATTTGTAAACATCGATTCCATGAGCTTCGGAAATTTACGTGTGTTATATACGGTTTTCGAGACACTTGGAGGGATTTTCAGAGGGAAAACCGCGCCGAAATCATTCCCCCCCGGTGCGAAGGTAGACGCGAGAGGGAAGGACATTTCTTTCGATCGCGTAACGACCCACGTCGCCGTGGGAGTAATTACCACGTGTAACTATTGCGTCGGGGATTTATCACTCGTGAGACGATAAATTAGAGCTCGGTACGGAGCGATTGCGGAGCGGGCAATCGCGTTGGATAATACGCGCCACGAATGAGCTCGATTAAGCGTGAATATTGAAACATTAACGTAACTGCCCTGTCTGCGGCGGTGATTTACAGAATTGCCCTTCTTGGCTGTCGCTTGGCAACCGCTCTCGATTGTTTAGGAATCTGGCCCGGGATATCAATCCACACTGGCGATAATTATAATTTGCGCGATCTCGAAGTGTCGTCACGCGGTCGAGGGGATCAATCACGTATTCACGAATTTCAGTTAATCTGATACCTAATATTGTCCACGTGCAATTTCGCTTGATCTGACTCTCGAGTTGGTTTCGTGTCTGTCGTGTATTTTACAGATTTGTTTCTAAAATGTTTCGTGAACATTCCAGTTTACTTCTCACTACCAGAAGTGTTGCTCCTTCGTCGGAGACGATTAGTCGGAGGAGGCAGGAGCAGGAATTTATTTTAACGAAATGGAATAGAATGTGCTTCTAGATAATCGCGGACACCGAGGATATCTAAGTCGCGATTGTACTCTGAAGATCGAGAACGGAAGTGGGAGAGGAAGAACGAATCGGATCTTTCTACACACGAAGAAATCGGACACTGGTCCCGGTGGAACGAGCTGAAAGATCCTCTCGACTTGCGCACTGAGATAAAAATATATGGTATTTGTATAACTGTAATCATCATAATAAGAAAATAATAGCCAGTAAAACTGTTCTTTCTAATAAGTGTTACTGTAGTGTTAGTAATAATAAACCTTACATGAGTGTGGTTATTGTTCTTTTTCTAGTTGAAGCCATGAGAAAGATATAAACGCGGGGAAAAAAATGCCACTTTTTAAATATTTACTCGAACCGGATAAACTGGTTATTCCAATACTTCTTGACAAATATTTACTAGAAGTAGAAACATAATTCATTTACATACTATATTTCCTTCGTTTAAGTGGCCATTCACTTGCATATGTTAAAATAATTTAAATACAAATATTAAATATTTAGAATAATAAGAATATTCAAAATATCAGAATTTAACTTTAAACAATATTTTATCGGACAAAAAATCTAAAAATCTAAAACCACTAGTTTCTTTCAATGGAAAAAAAAGTTACATAATTCTAATAAATTCGAATAAATACTCTCTTAAATATAAAACCATTTTACACTTACATTCAGTAATTCATCTACAAATTACGGTATTACTGCGTTCAGGTGAATATTTACTACGAGCTATTAAAGTACACTTAAATTGATAAAAATTCTACTTGACTTAACATATTGAAAAATAGGCGATTATTTGCTTGATTCTACCACTTTTTTCCGTATATTTGAGGCCGATAATAATAATAATTTTCCTCAGTGCGAAAGCCCGATGGCCCTATTGAATTTGTACCGACGGAAGATACCATTTCACCTCTCTCACGCGCGGATTTAGCGGCTGCGAGAATTAGTAGAGCGCGAATAATCGCGAGCGATTATGCGCCTAATTCCGGAGCGGTTCGTTTGTTTAGTTGCACGCGCGTGCGGCCGAGAGGCTGAAGTCCCAGGCACACACACGGGAGTAACAACGACGGGGTTTTATCGCGTGAGCCGATGTTTGTCTCAAATATATACGAATGCACCGACGCGCGTGTTCCCAATGCGCGAAAATCGGCGCCATCCGCCGGCGAGCAGCGCGCCGCGCCACTCGACGCATTCTCGCGATTCTCGGGGAGATAAGCGAGGAGTTCTTTCGCGTTCGACCTTGCTGGCGTATTATCAGAGGGAAACCTTTGTGAATCATTGTCGGTTAGATGCTAAAGCAGCTCGCGCATTAGATTGCGAGAGATATCGCGCTCTCAGCCCGGAAAAAATACAGACATGCGCGCGCGCGCGATGCCGACAAGTGGATAATCATAGTACGGCGCGCTTCTTTTCAAACTTCCACGTATCGATCGATCAAATTCCTCGCAAATATTGAAACAGCCGTGTCACGGCTGAAAGGCGTCTCGCGTCGGCGGGTGGATAAATCGCAACGAAGATTGCAATTTTATAGATTTCAACTTGGAGATAAGAGTCCCTTTTTTTCTTCCAGATCGCGATTTTAAGAGCTACGCGCTTACGTAACGCGCGTCGTTTGTGTAACACGTTTTTTTTTCTTTTTCCCATACAACAACACGGTCGGCCGACTTTTACTGTCCGAGACATTTTCATCAGGCGAGACGCTGCTTGTAGAGCATACAGCGCATCTCGAAAATCACTTCTGTTTCGCGTGTGTATATTTTAGTGACCTTCTATCCTAAGGCTCGTTGTTATCTCGGGTCCCATCGCTGGGAAGCAGGCGTTAAAGCTCGTCGTTGATAAAAAAAAGACAATACCGGCGTAACACGTATCGCTTTTCACGAAGACACTTGCTAAACCCGCGATGTTTGCGAATGGCCTGCACGAGAAGTTACTACCTGCTCAGAGAAGACGGTCATGTGATCTTCCACTTGTAAAGTCTTCCGAGGCTCATAAACAACCCCTAGTTTCCAGCCGATTGTCTTTTTATTCCCTCGTAACGGAGGAAGAAAAGAGACGGTGCGCCCGACAAGGACATATCGTTGTTGATTGTCCAAGCGCAAATGTTCCGGACACTGCGGACGACGGGAGTGCTCGAGCCGTGCTCGTTATTGCAACGGAAACTATTTCTTATGTACACAACATTTTCGACGACTTGGCTCGCGATACGAATGGGCCGCGCGAACGTTTTGACTCTCTCTCTCTCTCTTCCTCTCTCTCATTCACGTCTGAATCGTCATCGTAACCCCGATTCTGTTGTCAGAAGCGCGACGACAAATCTTAAACGGGAACTCACACAATTCCAACGTGGGATCTGATAAAGGACACGAAAAACACGACCAATTTTTGTCGAGAGGGGAGAGTTTGTGTTTTGTCGTCTCTCTTTCTCTCTAGAGGGAAAGAGAGAGAGAGAGAGAGAGAAGAAACTGCTTCCCACGCGTGTCGTGCGATTTGCCGTCGCGCCTCTCTTCCTAAACTATACATATGTACAATGTTGTAATGTTTATTCGCAGCATGCTTAATATTATGTCACATATTATACAATATATATATATGTCGCTGGTACAAAACCAAGATCCGGCACAGCACGACTCACGTCGCGTGTGCGCTCTAACATGTATATAACAATATAAGGCACATGGATTTTGTTTGTTAACATAGCCATATGTGTCTTTTCTTTTCAATTCATACTCCTCGCTTCATCCGACCGTCGATAATCGGCGAACTAAATGATAGTTTGTGTCTAACGCTCGGCGTGCGAACGCGACGACGACGCTCCGTTCGCTCTCGAGTGTCCCATCGACGGACGAATGATTAATCGCGCAGCGCATCGCCGTCAGTCTTTCTCGTTATTTGGCAAATTAATACACCGAGAGCGAGGTGAGCACGGCGAGCGAACTCGTATAGCGCTCCTGTCTCTATCAAATCTACGCTCTTCCGTGAAACATCTCTCCCCGTACGTGATTTACGAAATGAACGCGCGCGGCAAACGCGTGCGCACGCCATGCATCGAGAACGCACCTGTGTCTCGTTTTACACCTACGAAATAAAGGCACACGAAGTGGTCTCCGGCGGAAGTGCTTGCGACTTGTATCGCCTCGAGTTTCCAGATTTTCTCTCTCGTACCGCGCTCTCGTTCTCTCTCTCTCTCTCTCTCTTTCACTTTTTTTCTCTCAGTCGGGCGGTCTTACAAAAATAGCCTGTTTCGCCTCAAATGCGAGAACATTGGGGATCAATTGGATCTTTCTGTGTGATATCATGATATTTACATTAAATGCATGGTAGAAAGTTCCAAATTCTGATAACGATCCGGCAACTTTTCGACCTGTACATAATTTAAAATCGAACGATTCTCCACCGGATGTATGCATCTTTTTCTATATTTATAAACGACGTTGTGAGAAGGTGATAAGAGAAAGAGAGTGTGTGTGTGTGTGTTAGAGAGAGAGAGAGAGAGAGGTTGAGAGAGAAAACAGAAAAAAGACAACTGTCGAAAGATGAAAGTCTTTCCTTCAATTATCCGCCCAACTGGGTACCCAACCTAATGTAAATTAGCGGTAAAATTGTCTTTATTACATAATTTTTATTTATATGTGATTTCTGTATTATTATATGTTTAATTTCGACAGAGCTATGTGTGTCTTCTCGATCTTTTTCCTTTGTTTTACTCAAAATAACAGGTTTAACTGATCGTCGATTGCTGTAATGAGTCATCATTTACGTTCTGTGATCGACACACGCGAACGTGATGATGTGTAAAATTATGTAATTTATGTGCTACCCGTGCGTTTTCTCGGGAATGCGCACAGGTAGCATGTAATTGATAACTTTACCGTTAATTTTGCCATTAGGTTTTCCCTGAACAATTTCCCATCCCAACCAGTCAGGCGGATCTTGAAGGTAAGATCGAAGGGAACAAGGATAGTGTGTCGTAATACTAAGTAGTTTGCGTGTGACGCAATGTGTGCGCACATGGAAGAAATTGTTTGAGCAATTAAACGATCGCCGCACAGAGATCAACTGCGAATTCGCGGCCGATGACGAATGCGATCGCGTGGTCAGAACGCGGAAAATTGTGAGTGGCGTGTCGCGTTACTAAGAAGTTGTGCAATTAACGCCCGCCGGTGTTTGTTTCCGACGTAGCTTTCCGCAGAACGTCGGGAAAAGGTGCCCTGAAACCATTTTTCATTTTCTTCTTCTGTTTTTTTTTTTTTACTTGACGTTTTTGTCCGACGCAACGTATCCGTACGACTAGCGAGGACACATGTGAAATATAAAACATCGATATGAGAAACCGGAACGCAAATGACGGTTTGTGCAAACACAAACGTGCCAGAGAGATTCGTCCGAAATATCCCGCGTGGGCGCGAGACGAGAAGTCTAAACTCTTTTTTCGATGCCTTCTAATAAGCGAAATAATGTCCGCCCAATGGGAATGCTTAATGCCCGCTTCTAATATTACGTATTATGCCGCAAGAACAGATCAGAACGATTCCGATAACTTTAGCATCGCGCGATCTAATGACAGTTTCGAATTCCATTCTCTGCTCGTTTTACACGATCTAATGATAGTCTTGAATTTATTTTTTTTTCGTAATTTTATACGACCTGATACCACAGTTTCCAATTTTTGCGATAATCTGTCGAATGATTTTTATAATTTTTTTGGTTTTTATTTTTTTTTTCTTTCGATAAAAATCTAAACCGAGTAGGCTAAACTAGAGAAACTAAACTATGCTAAAGCTCGACGGTGTAACTAAACTAAAACAAGACAAGATAGATAAAGCTAAAGTTAAAGAGAAAAACTAATTAAAAATCCTAAACTACCCTAATTAATAAAAATCGAAATTGAACTAGAAACGATGTAGTATACCGTAGTAATACTGTGTTTTCGTCGAATCATAAAAAAAATCCATCGCTTGGAAGAATCCGCGTAGCGCAACGCTTCGCCAAATGACACGCAGCGGGGGCCGCAGTCGCGATAAGATCATCCAGAGAGAATGCTTTTGATTTACTCGTGGTACTTCAAACAATGAACGATAATGTGCAGGAAGGCCCGGAGAAAAATACATACGATAATGCCGGAAACGATTCTCGTGTGTCACGGAAACCAAAGTTTTCGGAATCTCTTCGACAATTTCGCGCATTGAATACACGAGAGAACGTTGCTGCTCAGACGATTCTATCTTCCCTGAAATTTTCTTCCTTCGGAATACGTCGCAACGGACAACCACGCTGACATAATTGTATAATTATAGCGAACGCATTCGACCTCTAAACGGCCTAGCCGATAACCAGCGGGCTCTAATCTCGACGATAAGGCCGCGGGAAAAGAATCTGCCGGGGTATCTGCACGATTTTTGCGGAGAAAGAGAAGACGGGGGGCGCGGGGGGGGGAAAGAGGAGCGAGAAAGTCTAGCGGAATTGGAAGACGCCAGCCGAGGACGCGAGCATGTACGATCTCCTTCCACGCCTCGACTCGTCCAATGGCCGATTAAGACTTTATCGCGATGTATAACGCGCGACACCGGCCGATCCGCGGAAACGATAAGCGCTTACGTGGTTCGCTACGTGTCGCGGATCACGTACGGATCGATCCTTCGCCGGCAGATTCTCTCATCCCGCTGGATTTTTGGTGTCCTTAAAATAATTAACTACAGAGCGATTCGATCGCAAACGAGTCCTCCGAGCTTACAATTAAATGAGGGTGCCTCGTGATCACAAAGCCGTTTTGATTGATCGCGAGATGGGGACTCCCCATTGTTTGCGCTTCGTAAGGACGGAGACAGTTGAACAAGCAGCTATTTCTAGTCTCATGATGGGCCGGGTACCTGGTAAAGTTCATACCTCCGTAGCTAATATGATCCAAGTCCGCCTTCGGGTTTGTCAAAGGCCTCAAGGAGGTCGGCAGGTGCACATTCAACTGGAGTCTGCGGTTTTTGTTCGTCTTGTAAATGCGCCGGTAATGAATGATATCGTTGTCGTTGATCCCACTGTCGATACTCCTCTTGTTATTGTTAATAATGTTCTCCCTGGTTTTCGGCGATAGCTCGCGCTGGACGGCGTCGTTGCTCGCAGGCCTGCACACGGGGTTGTCCAGGTACGGCTTGAAAAGAATCCCGTCATCCCTAGCCGACGTCGATGACGAGGGCTGGGACGCATCCGACTCGGAGAGAGTCGATCTGGCTAACGCCGCCTCCATGCGAGAAGCCATTAGCCAGGCCCTTTTCGGTTTTACGAGGCAAAGAGGCCGATCTTGCGAAGGGTCTTTTTGTGACGCCGTGTCGTCCGAGCAAAATCTCTTGGGCGAAGGAGCATTGTTCCAGGAATAAGCCTGTCTCTTCGAGGAAGGTGGCTGTTCCTCGGTAAGGCTGTAGGTCTCCGCGTAATCTTTAGGCGAGTAGCAGTACAGACCACTCGGCGACTCCGTGTAGGATCCTCTTAAAGACAGATCCTGACTAGAGGACGTAGTCGATGTTGTCGTACGTTTGTCCGCGCAGCAAGGCAGAATGCAACGTCCCGCGGGCTCCACTTCGACGGACGGTGCCGTCGTCTCGGCGTTGAAATAAAGCGTACGGATGCATGGGATTCCGTCGACCTCGTAGTAATGGTGATGCGGCGGTGACCGTTCGTACTCCGCCTCGAGACCCGCGCCGGACGACGGCCGACTGCAGTCCGAAGATACGTAGTTGATCGTTCTCAGATCTATGGGCGAATCGACGAAAAGTTCTTGAGCGGGAGCCAGTCGTTGCCGCGAGTCCCCGCGAAGTGCGATCTCGTCCCTGAGATCCGTCTCCTTCAACAGCCACTTCTGCACCTGCCGACGATTTATGTCGAATTTCCTCGCGGTGGCTCGCTGGTTGCCGGCTACGTCGGCGTCCTTGTGAAAGGCGTCGAGCACGTCGAGTTTGAAGCTCAGAGGGAACGATCGCCGGAGCTGCTGTCTGCGGGTGAGATTGCCGGGTGAACTTTGATTACCGGGAGCACCGTCGAGGGAGCCCATCTCGCTGTCCGACGAGTTGCTGCTGGACCTGCCGGGATCGCCAGGACTCGACGCGGAGCAATCGTCCACCTCGACGGGGGCGTTTTCCGAGTCCTCCAGGGTGTCTCTCGACAGGTCGCCGGTCACGTCGATGTACGGGGACGCGTTATTCCCCAGCCTTTCGTCGTACACCTCATCTTCGGGCAGGTCCACCTCTTCCTTAATCACCGTCCCGCAATATTCCTTTTGCTCCCCCCTCTCTTCGGCGTAGCCCGTCGTCTCCTCCGACTCTCTCTCGTGCTGATGCGACGAGTACGGCGTACTGGGAACCAGCAGCATGTGTGCGTGCTCATGCACGTGCGAGGGGCCCGCCGTGGAGTTGAAGTGAGCGGGCAACGAGGAGCCGCTGCTGTTGTTGGCGACTTGATGCGATACCGTGGGCGACTGCGGGGCCCATTGGCCACCGGGCGAGCCGGCCGGCTCGTACGGCCCTGACGTCGCCGTCGAGTCTGGGCTAGCTGGCTCTGTCTTTATCAACGACGCTCCTATCAGACCGTGCAAATGTCTGTTGAACAAATCGACATTTCCGTAAGTCTGCGCGCAATGATTCGGCGAGTGATGACGTTGTTGCTGATGATGCTGAGGATGAGCGATCGCTTCGTTAGCATCCTTCGCGGCACACTGATGTTCCGTAGACGACCAATAGTAGCTCCTGATACTTTCATGCGCCGCAATCTCATTTCTATCACAGCTGTGCACCGACGTCGTCTCCACGTCTATTGTCGGCCCGTCCCCGTAATAATTACGGTCCTGATCCACTTGCGTGTCCACGTAGTGGATCTCTTGCACGATCATCGCGTTCTCCGCCTCCCGATGGTGATGTTTCCGGTCCGACGAGGATGATGATGAGGACGACGGCGGCGAATATTGCGAATAGCCCAACACGCCTTGCAGGAGCATATTTTTGGGAACAGTTCGAAGACGAGTCGGGGGGGACGCGTCACAACGCGGAAGATGCGGAGGAGAAGCAGGAGGTGGGGACCTCTGCTGTGGAGTCAGCTCGTCGCCATGCAGTCTGGCAACGTTAAGGTTCAAGGCCGGCGCCGCTGGGATCGCAGCGGGTCCTGCGGGGCCGCCGCCTTCCGTCACCGTCGCACTCTCCGATTTCGATACACTCGCGGACGAGTCTGTCGTCGAGGCCGGCCTGGCGTTCCCGTTTTCGGCACAATTTTTCAGATTCTCCTCGCACTGCAGCCACTTCTGAATCTGCCGGCGGTGTATCCCGAATTTCCTCGCGGTGGCACGCTGATTGCCGCGACAGTCCACGTCATTCCTGTACGAGTGCAGCACCTTGAGCTTAAAAGACGGCGGAAAAATACGCCTGCTGCCCATGACTCCCACTTTTCGCGCGGTCTGCTGCTGTTGCTGTCGATGCACTGACTGCTGCTGCTTCGGATGCATTACTCGCACTGAACTATCTTTACTGAGCACCTTACTCACACCATAATCGCAGGTCATAGTGTCTCCGTTTAGCACATTACACATTTAACTCGCTCGACGACGACGAGCGTCGGATCGGCCGCAAGAACGACGAGTCCGTGTACAACAGTGACGACGACTGAGACGACTACGAGCACTGTGAGCTTCGAAACCGGCACTGAGAACGACGCACGAGTATACCTTGACGCGTAACATTGCACGAAGTGGCTTGGCCGTGCGCGGCGCCGGAGTTCCTTTTAGGTCTTGGTAGATGCCGCAACTAATTTCCATCCCCACCACCGCTCGCCGCGAGAACTGCGACCGCTTCCCACTGGGAACAGTCCACCCCTCTACCGTCGCCGATCGCTTTCTCACTCGCTCGAGCCTCCCTATTCGCACTCTCTCGGCCTCTCTTCCACCGTACCCCCACCCGAGGCCCGCTACTTCGTTTCACGCTCTCTCCGTCCGACGTGTCTCCTTTGTCGTCTCCTCTTTTTCCGTCCAGTGGCCGCCCCCTCAATACCCCGTTGCCTCATTCGTACAGGCACGGACGCGCTAGTCCACTGCCGAAGGCGGCTACCAGTTATTCTTCTTTCTTTGCGTTAGCAACCTAACCTATCCGACTAATCTCTCCCGTCATCCTACCTCGCTCGGCTGCTTGACCGTCCGTAGGCGCCCCACCGTCCCCCTCCACCTTCCCTCTTTCTTCCCTTTCACACCTCAGCGCCGTAAACTCCGCCATTTTCTGCGCTCACTTCCGTTAATGACGCGCGGGAAACGTCACGCCGGCATGACGGCGGCGCTCTCGGCGCCATGTTGTCTGCCGTGGACGTCTGACGCCTGCCTGCGCCGCGGTCGCCTAGCAGCTCGCCGCGGCAGCCAGCATGGAGCCTCGATTTTTGCTCGCCTTTCTCCTCAACAGCCGACGATTGTGCCTCCGCCGTTCAGCTTCCCGATGCACGGAATGTAGTAGCTCGAGCTTTTCTACAATCCGTTACACGCTTATCGTCGTACGCGCGTACGAATTTCACAGGCCGTTATCGATGGAAGTCGCGATCGGTCGCGCGGCTAATTACGACGAGGCTTGTTCGTCGAAAGACTAGACGTATCATTTAGATTAGGTCGCGGACGTTTGTGTCGTAGGAGATACCGCCGGTACGTACATCAAAGGCGTACGACTGGCCGGTTATAACAGGAAATTTTACAGCCGGGCAGCTGGTGGGTGAAGGGATTTTCCAGGAAAAGCGCTCGTGACCGTGTTAGCCTGCAGTCACCGGCAGGCAGGTTCGACTGAAATCGTATCATCGTTCTACCAGGCGGCACGGAATAGTTATCGTTCTCGTCGACTACCAACGAGAAATCTTTGAACTTTGCACCGAGTACTTTCGACGCCACTTTGCATATAATATCTCCTTCTCTTTGTGCATTATTTCAGCACCTCCATCCTTTGACACGCGTGTTCCTTTTCTCGGAACAGGATCTCCCGTCCATCTCGCTCTTCGTCGTCCCTTTTTGCCTCTCGTGCCGCTGGAATCGCTTTTGAATGAGATTTTGAGGTATACGTTAGCCTCTTGCATATGCGCCGCGGAATGAGATCATGTTGTTTTTGTGGCGTGAGCCGACAGTTAATATGTTTAGCTTCACGCGCCGTTGCCATGTCTCTTCTTAGCCGCACGTAGGCCGCAACGAACGCATACGAACGCGCGAGAAGAGAGAGAGAGAGACCCGCGAGGCAATGACGCAAGCCGCCGCACGCTCGCATATACTTCGATGAACGGGCGCGCGAGCAAGATAGACCGATAAAAAGAAACGGACGAGGTCTCGTAAATTTCCACGATTCGCGCCACCGGCAGAAACCAAGGATGCCGACGAGGATTCTCTCTCGCGTGGTTCTCTGAAGAGGCACCCTACTCTATTTCCAAGAATCACGTCGGCTATTCTTGCTCCCGCCGATCACCGCGAAGCCCCTTTTCAACGCGTACAGCAATCACGGAAAGGAGGCACCTGCCACCTCGCCGCAGATCGGCCTTCGGTATAAGGATACAGGCACCAGTCATCGCTCAGACATTCCGTGAACCTACGCCCATGAGACACGGGGGGATCTCTCTCTCTCTTTCAATTTCTCCGCGTGAGCGATCGGCAATGATGACCGACTGCAATATTAATCGCGACCATTGACGTCAATATCTCATTCGAGACGTTTCCCTTCGTTCGACGACGAGTCGAAGGTATCTTCAGCTTCCTCCGTCTCCTTTCCCATCACCGCTCGGTACTTTAACACGAGGAAGTGTCGAGAGTTCCATCGAGAATAATATCGGGCGGCGAGGAAAAGCATCGAGGTAGCGGTAGACCGGCAGTCGCCTAGTGCGGCTGGCACGGCTCGTCGGATTTGTCCTTGGGGCCGAAGGTAGGCGCAGCACGAAGACCGAGGACGTGGCAACGCAGCGCAGGCTCCCCCTCTTTTGTCCGCCGGCCGGTCTTGCCAGACAGGGTGTCGCCAGCTCGGTCGGCCTGGTCGGCCGGGTTACCGCGGGGGACGAGGAAAGAGAACGCACGATGGCGAAGGGGAAGGGGAAACTGTGGGTTCACGTGTACGTATACGCGTCTCCGCACAGTGTGCGATAGAGCGGCACTCTAGGGGGGAAGGGACGCGCCATGGGGGGAAGCGCTCGAACGACTGTGGACAGAGAAGACGACGAGTGCAGGCTCCTACGAGCCCCGGTCGTGGTATGCGTGCGTTATAGGATCGGTCGTGGACCTACATTCACGCAGGCTGGGCATGTTTGAAAACTCGCGTCCTCCTGGAATGTGGCCTGCGGAGGCCCCTTCGGCGACCTCCCGCTTTTCCCCTCCTAGCCCTGCGAGCCTCTCTTCGGTATGGTGGACGTCGCTCGGACGCCTACCTACCTCTCTACCTATCTACCTACACCTCCTCTCTCTCTCTCTCTCTTCCCCTTTGCCTCGCCGTCCTTCTCTCAACGATCCCCGTTCACCCGCCGCGCCGCCACCAGCTTGGCGCTCCAAATAGTCGCGTAACCAGAGACGCGCCTCTGGCCTGGCCTGGTCGCGCCAGACTTCTCGGCGCCCAAATGATGTACGTCGACCATTCTCTTTCTCTCTCTTCCTCCCTCGCGCTCGCTCGCACGGCTGGTTGTGGCCGTCGCTTTCCGCACTCTCCTTCCTTCCACGTACTCATGCACAGGCATGGTCGGCGGAAGAGGCTCTATACAGAGAAACGACGAGGAGCAACGAGGAGAAAAAGATACACGGTCTCTATTTAACGGTCTCTCTCTCTCTCTCTCGCCCTGTCTGTCTCTCGACTTACGACACCTTGCGATCCGGTACGCGGCCCTTAAAGCCGCGGTGAAAGACACGAATTTAGCTGCGAGCATGAGGCAAGAAAGGGCACGAGGGTCGGTGATTCGCGGCAAAAAGTGTATTAGACGGCTTCTCTCGTCTGGCTCGTGCGCGCGAGGGCAGGCATCTTGGCAGAGGCGAGACAAGCGGTCGCCTGCGAAACGCCTCGCGCGCTCGTGGGCGCGAAGGATCGAATCCTCCGATCTCGCGCGCGGAGCTCTCTCGAGTTTTCGCGTCGGCTTGGCGGTCGTTCAAAAATTCCGCATTATTTTGTCACGCACGTTCTCCCGCGCCTGCCGATCGCCGCCCGCCAGAACTTGTTTCGGGCGTTAAGTTTTTATTACTGTTCGCGCGCGCGCGTCGAACTTTACATGTAAACGCACGTTGTTAACTCCTCGTTTCACAATCCTACCAGCTGTCCGTGCTATTCCGCTCCGCTCGGCTATATATATATATATAATGCGGGCCGTAAAGTAGACAAGCTGCGTTTCTAATTTAGCGATTGATATTTGGCACACTGTCCGCAACGGGAGGTGCCCGCGATTTCCGTGTATTGTGCTTCGTATTTATAGCCGGCTTTGTGGATGTGCGTCTCTCTCTCTCGAATCGGCGGCGTATATTCCAGAAAGCCGCGCTCGTATCGCGCTCGATAACGACTTATTGCTCGCGGAAAGAATTCGTGAACTATGACACGTTGCGAACGGACGGGCGATAAGTGCGCCATGGTCATCGGGGAAACGACTGTATATGCGCGCACTTATCTTTCGTCCGGAGTAAAGAGCGCCACTCGTTGAAATCGCGGTCTAGAGTTTATAACCCAGGCTTATTTATTCGCATGCTAACTGGGAGAACGCTACACGTGCACCACACGCGCACACGCTCGCGCGCGTTAACGCGAGCGTACATGCATTATGCGCCGTGTGTGCGTACACATAGCGTCGAGTCTAATCGTACGTAAGCAGGGCCGAATCGATCTCGCGCCTCGGTGTCTGCTGCGTTTCACAAACCCGCTCGGGTAATTCGTATTTACCCCGAGATTATCCGAGACAACAGCTGCCAGCACTTCCAAATTTATCCTTGACTCATCGATAAATCGTATGGAAAAGAGTCAATCCTGATTTTCAAACTCAGACCAGCCTTGGTCAGTTCGAGTCTGACGATGCGAGTTAATCGATGCGAGTGTTAAATTTTACTTCTGGGAGAATATAATGCTCGACAGTGCAAATTCGCAAGCCAAGATCGCCTGGGTCTAATGTGTATTTGCACTGTCAAACATATCATCCGGTCGCAAATCAAATTTGGCACGAATAACTATCGCGTCGGCCCGTATTAATAATTGTTACTTGAAACTTGTCTCAAACAAGCTGTTCAGATTTGAATTCCGAGTTAGACGTAAGTTTTCCCGTTGAATGGTGTTTGCGAGATATGGTCGCGGTTGCAAGAAAGACCCAGCCCGCGAAATTATAATTTTTGAGATTTGTCACTAATAGGTAGTTTATACGTCTCTCTGTAGAACAAAGAGATTCGAGTTTTGTGGGCGTCTGAAATTAATTAAAACGGTTTTTATTTTCTACTAGTTGTGCCATTTCTTACTAATTGTGTCCTTTTCAAAAGGTTAAACTTGACAATAAATATCCTTAAAAAAAAGAAAATGCTCCAGGCTTGACTTCTTGAACGATTGTGAGCAGCCTCGGTGTTATTTATACTTTTTCAATCGTCAAATTTTCATCTTCATTTTTCTCGAAACGTACTTCATATGAAACTGGATCTTTCCTGCATAACTGTGGTCGTATAATGTCAAATATACGTATTATATTCATTCAAAATTCCAACTGATCGATTGAAAACCTCAGATCCGACATTGAATAAAAATCCGGAATATCTCACACGAATTTCGGGTATCAATACAGACCTCGGAGAGCCATCAGATATAAAGATTCGGCTCGGATTTACATAACGAGTGTCACCTGCGGATCGAAACGCGACGAACCAGAACGCAGGTCCACGTCTACATTGGAGATGGCAAGACTGCGCAGTAGGGAGTAACTTCTTGTTCGCAATCTCGCTTTAAGACGTATGCAAACTGACCGACCACAATCTTCTTATATTTAATTAATATAATTATTCTCCTAACGAACAACCGTCGATTTGATTACCATTTAAAACCAAAATTGTGAATAACGGAATTCTTTCAGTGGAACAATGCGTGACACAGGGCGTGAGCGAAATAGATCATTTCTTATTCCCCGCTTACTGTTAGTCAATACCCCACACTCCTTACTTATCGCCGCTTACTTCCAACGTAGACGATCCTTAAAACGTGGTCTACAACGGGCAGTAGGAATGTGTTCATAAGAAGTAAGAGTAAGAAATTAACCAATCATAATCGATTGTTCTCCTTACATTCGAATATGATTGGTCGATTTCTTATTCTTACATTTTACGAACATACTCTTACCGCCCATAGTAGACTACGCTTAAAGGTTCATAAAATCCGCGCTGATGTTCCTCCCTCCCCCCCAAAGACGCGACGTGGGGAAGTAACAGTAGCGCTTGATACTCGATAACTCGCACGCTGAAAGCGGCGGTTAAAAAGATCGACATAACTCGTAAGCGGCGCTTTTTATAGCCCGCGTTATGTTCCCGATAATGATAAAGCGCGATATACGCGCGCTCGTGGTTTTCTCTCGGCCGGACACGATTGGGGCAGGAACGATTCGACGTCCCGATCCGACGGAACGTATGCAATCGAGCGCGACGATAATTTCATCTCACCTCTTGCCAATATCTCGAGCCGTTAAAAATCCGTCCCTGATTATACGCGTCACGTACAGGTATGGGTTAAGCAGCATTCGGCCGCTCGTTTGCCCACGTACGAGAGCAAGCAATGTACCTTTTTCCGTGGGCGGTCGCACGATGGCGCCTACTCGCGCGCACTGTGGGCCCCGCGAGGGGAATCCCCCCGCGAACCTAACCTCGCACGGGCTGCCGAGGCTGCCGCGATTGCGGCTCACGAAAGTCTCGTTTCACCGAGATTCCACCGGCTGTGCGTCACGAGAGATTACGCTCGCGCGGCTGCTTCTGCGTCGTTCGCTTATCGCCCGGTAGCCGTCGCGCCACGGACGGACGGACGGTCGACCGCGGAAGAAATCGTACACAGAGCAGAGAAAGAGAGAGAGAGAGGGAGAGATAGAGGGAAGAAGCGTTATCGCGAAAGAGGACGAGTGTACATCACCGACGATACGGTGCGCACACACGCACGAGAACGGGGAACGGCGCAACGCCTACGGTCGACTTGTACGGGCGAGTGTCTCTCTCTCTCTCTTTCTCTCACTCTCTCGCTCTCACTCACGCATACGCATGAACGCTAACCTTTATCTTATCATTGGCGAAGGCGTATCGAGGTTGGACTGGTCGGGATGGTGTTTGCCTTTGGCACGAAGGCTCGGCGATGGCTCGACGTGTGCGGTGGCCGATGCTCTCTTTTTCACTCTCCTTCCCTCCCCATCTCTCTCTTTCTCTCGCGCTCCCGGGCCGTTCTTCCGCGAGAGAAAGGAGAATTCCACCGGGGGTGTTGGTACCACGTCACCCCGCGCGGCTTTCGACTGCGGCCGACGCCGCGCCGGCGCGCGTAGTGCCGCGTCATGATTCGCTTTATCGGCCGAGCGTATAAAAAATGATACGCTCGATAAAGACGCTGTTTTATCCGCGGTTGGCCTTACCGATATGGGGTATCGGCTCGCGGTCGCGCCACGATCTTCGAACGGGAAGCATGGTGTGTAGGGGAAAAATGTTCTTTTCTTTTCAGACGGAAAAGTGCCCCCGCGGCGTCGCGCGTTATCGAGGAAATGCTTCCTGTATTTTGAGGCGCTATTTTGAGATATTTGAAGACGCATCTCTCTCTCTCTCTCTCTCTCTCTTTCCCACGATGTTTCTGCTCCATCTTCAAGTGTGTCAAGCCCGATATCCGGCTGTGATTACTCACCGCAATAATAAACGCACGTGCAGCGCTAATACACGTTTCTATAGGCAAATCGATTAGTCACGAGTCCGATGCGACGGTGCGTCTGCTCGTTGGCGCTCCACCCAGACCGATGATTTATTTATGCGGGAGGAGCTATAAAATATTAACGGTTACTCGATCGATCGTCCGGATCACCCTTGAAACGTCGATTCACAGATTGAATCCGCGAATTCGTCAATGAAACTGATCGAAAGCAAACGTCTGGTTCCTGTGCGATCTTAGGTAATTTCGTGAATAGCGTTTTATATTTTATTTATCACGTACATCGTAAATTCTCCGGTCGGGGAAATCGAAACCGCCGGTTCCGCGCGCGGCTGCGAGCGATCGCGAAGGAAGGAATAACGCATTCTGTCAAAATTGATCTGAGTTTAATTACTGAAACATTCACGTATATAAATAGGGTACAAATATATGTGATTGATGCATGTTGATGCGTATGTGTGTGTTCTTCTCTCAGTGTCTACTGCAGTCCGCCTTAATAATATATACATTTGTAGACGGTTTTCGTTTAAACCGCAAGGGGCCACACACGTTTCGTTTCCGGATGGATTTTAATGCGGCGCGAGCGCGAAAACGTTCTTTCCCTCTTCGGCCAGCCGGCAGCTTCGTCGAGAGAAGCGCCGAATTTGTGGAAATGATTTCCCCGCTCGATTCAACGGACTTCGATAATGAAGCCGTCGGCCGGTCTCTCCTCGTGATCCTATTTCTACCCGTGCCGCGTTTCCATCCGAAGAATATTCAATTCCGAGAGTCTGACCCCCGCATGTAGCAAGCACCTTAACCAGAAATTTTAATTTACTCCACCCAATTCATGTTGTTTATGGATCATTACGTAACGTCTCTATCGCGAGAGGAATCGCTCGTCGTGTCGGATTAATACGTCGTCATAATATCCCCGGAGGAACGGTTATGCATACTTTATCGCCTATAAGTCGCTTAGTAATAAACTGAAGAAGTCGAAGCGGATACGATAACGTCTACTTGTGTGAGAAGCGAATCTTCCTCCGCCGAACACTCTTCCCAGCCGCTTTCACCGAATATCGTAGCTCCGTATTAAGTCTTTGATTGAAATTTACTCCGCGCAAAAAATATCCAGCACTAAATTCAGATCTGAGTCTTTCAGTGAAATTTTACAATGCACGTGACGTTCTATTTGTAATGGCGATTCAACTGAAACATTCACATCTGACTCTGAATTCAAATCTGAGTGTCTCATTTGAGACGAGTTTTCAGTAACGACTATTAATAGAAGCCCCGACGTTTCCAAAGGTCACTCGACGATTCAGATAGAATACATATAAAAGAATCTTATCCACTCCCAAAGGATGTGTCAGAAAATTCCTTACTATCTTCGAAGGAGCTGTACGAAGACAAAGAAAATTTTATGGTGACGAAGAAACGGTCCACGAAAGCAAAAGTTCTATGAGAGACTTTGTCAAAGTGGAAAACCGAGGCGGGAAGAGAGCGTTCGGCGGAATCTACTCGCAGCGAATATTCATTGATTGAGTGGAGCTGATAAACTGAGAAAAATATGATTGTCCTTAGAGGATTATATTAATATTCGGCCGCATACGCGTCGCCGTTGCACTACGTCGTGCCTTGAGTATACCTTAATACGTACTTCCGCACGGCTAAAATCCCGAGAGCGCCTCGAGCTTCAGGTATTAAACGCGCAGAAAGCAATCTACAGTCAGGTAGCCGAACGCTTCGGGTGTTCCTCCCATTCATTCACAAATTTCACTGAATAGAATGGTGGTGGTGGTGGTGGTACCTTCAGAAATGCCGAAAGGGCAGTTTCTTCGGCGGCTACTTCCAAGAGATCAATATCTCGATTAGTTTTTAAGCTAGACTTTTCTTCCTCTTTTTTTTGCTCGACCACCGCTGTCGTCGCTATACGACTAATTCCAACACCGTTAAATAACGAGCTACGTTACGATCGATATTCTACACCGTTAAGCGCGTTTTGGTGCAACGACTTTTTTACGGTCTGTGAAAAAATGTGTCCCTTTTATTCTACGATGAATTTATTGATCTGAAAAAGTACGAGCCGCTTCGAGAATCCGCTGGAATAGAAGAAAGTGTCTTCTCTCGTTCGTTTTTCTCTTTTTCATCCTCTTCCTTCTCCTCCTCTCTTTCGCCCCCTCCCTCACTCCCTCTCTTTATCCTTCTCTCCGTCTCTTGTCTATGCTTACATGCTTAATCGCTATCTTAACGCTACTTGTATCGTTAGAGACGTTAGTGAAGCGTGAACCTTTAAATACCGCTAGTCTTGATGCGGGTTACAAATCGATCTCCGAGGAACGAAAACAGCAACCAGGGGTCGCGTCCACCGTCTACGAGCTACCGGAAATTTCGCCTCGAGCGACGCGGCGAGTCAATACTCGCGCGCTCCATCCTGTTCTTTTTGCAACCCTATCAGAAGTAGCCGCTAGAGGATGAGACAGTTAGCTGTTTTCTAAGAATATTCTTAAATAAAGTCTACTCTCGTTGCATTCATGGTGGTCTTGGTCGCGAGTGAGCTTCGCGATTCATGTCCCGTATGCATGCGTGTACGCCTACGTGTGTGCGTGTGTGTGTGTGTGTGTGCCTACGTGGGTCTGTACGCGCGCGTGTATGTACGTGTGCGAAAAAGAGTCGCTCGCCAACTTTGCGATAAACACCCTCGAAGTCGGACGCGCGCGCGAGCCGAGAAATTTCAATCGCTCGGGCGCGCGTAAAGACAAACCGTGTCAACAGCGCGATCGCTATTTCAACAATATTTCCAAGCGCGATTTGCGCGCGCGCCAAGAATACATAGTCGCTGAACGCGCCCAGCCAAAGAGTGACTGTGCACGTCGGAGACCTCGCCACGTCTGATGTAATGTTTCATTAGCGCCAAACGTATGCAATATCGCGTTAGACTCGAGCTATTTCCCACCAGAGAGCCCCCTCCGTGATTGATATAATTGCGGCAATATTATTACAGATATTGATCCGCCACCACATACAGCACAAATGTTCGAAAGGCATCCCAGAGACGTTTCGGGGACATTCGAACATTCTGGGACGTCTCTACAGAATGTCTTTCGAACATTTGCGCTACATGGGACCGTAAGAGTCGGGACACGTCCTTTCGTGAGCTTTTTTACCCCTCGGTTAAAAATCAATTCGAGACACGTCGAGTCGCTATCGCAGTCGTTGTTGCGGCTATGTGTAGGTGTTTACTTTCGACATATGGTACAAGAGATCCTTGTGATCTTCCTCACGTCAGTCGGTAGTCTTTTGTGCGCGCATTAGTGCCTGTCCGTGTGTGCGTGTGCATATGTGCGCGCGTAAACTTATTTTCGAGACGATCTATTATTAATCTCCCCCGAATGACTCCGTCGGAAGCGTCGACCTATACCAACTAACCGTACTCCGAGAAACCGTGTGCGTCAGTGTTACCGATGTGGAGCCGGTACTCGCCCGGATACATTACACAACCGATCCCCGCGATCGTCGCCGATAGCGCGGAATACCGATCGCATTAGGTGCAATTCAATTGCGCGTCACAATGCCGCGATTGACCCGCCTTGCGAAGCGACGATTCTTTCTTCTTCCGTCTGCCCGCCTACGAGCCGGTTTCAAGCCGGTGGAGATATAATGAGAATGAAGATACAATAGGGATGAGAGAGCGAATGATTGTCGCTGCGTATGAATCTTTCGATAACTTACCGTATATGAGTGTGACTGTATGTGTGTGTATTTATTGCGCGTGGATTCATGTGTGGTACGCGTGAATGCGTGTGTGTATGCGTGTACATGTCTGCGAACTCTCGCACTCCTCGCTATCGTCTTCCTTATTTGCTTTCGCGATCGCGTTCCACGCGGGGGTGAATGTTTCCTCGCCCTTTAAGGCATCATCTTACGAGGCGTCAGCCACTTCTTCATGTAGTAACAGAAGATCGTGGAGATGTAGATGAGCACCAGCAGAGCGCACGTCACCCCGAGCGCCAGCACGGAGGTTTTCGTCGGGCACGGCTCCACGATGGTCACTGTTTTGTCTGGAAATAAGTCCCACGCTTATTTTGTCATAGACACTAACCTCGCCGCGGCGCCTCCCGAAGAGAATGAGGGACGCCTCTAAGTTGTTCTTTTGTTCCCCCCCTTTTTCCACCCTTCCGCCGCCTACCTACCTGCTTCGTTAAAGTCTATGCTGGCGTCGCTCTTGAGGAAGTCCGACTGCTTCTCGTCGCCGAAGTCCAACACCAGGATCTCCTGCGACAGAGTCATGTCCTCGGCCTTCTCCTCCGTCGAGTTCGCGAGGCTCCTCCTGCGCCTCTTGCCCCACGACTCCACGGATTCGCGGCCCCATTCGCAAACAGCCTGCAACGCGAGGGAGGCTCGTTGAGAAGGACGATCTAATCTGCGATCGTTCATCGATAAGCGAGATTGATCGATTAATGTTTTACCGGCTCGCACGGTCCCAGACAGTACTTCACGTTACACTGGAAAATCACGCCGTAAGATTCGGTGAACCTGAAAGCCTCGTACACGGACTGCAGAGCGTTACCGTCGGGCGTGAAACTGGGGAAGATGGAAGGATCGACGGGACACCTGAAAGCAGCGCGCCTTCGTATGCACATTCGTTCCGTGTACTCTATGCATACGCGGAAAACAATTTTTCTTTGGATTTAACCAAATTTCTTTAATTGAAACATATAATGAAAGAAATTGTTTCATCGAAAATATAATATTTCCTCGAAATAATGCTGTTCTATTTTTATCAAATATGGATTTGTTCTAATGAAACAGCATCTTCATTCAAACAAAATGATATTTGATATTAAATTATGTTTGTATTAAACGAGTCAAACGAACACGCGTACTAAATTCAAAGAAATCTTTCTCTTTGTGCGCGCCTCGGTCGACGAAAGATCGACCGGGAATCGCTGAGAAAAATGCGAGACTGACCCTTCGTCGTCGATAATCTGGAACGTGCTTTTTGAGTCCTTTGCCATGGCTACGCAGCTGCGAGCGAAAATGCCGTATGGGGCTACATACAGAATGTTAATGTCAGTTGTTTGCGAATTATTATTGAAAATTGGCGGCGTCGTTTCTCAACTTTGTATGTTTCTTCTTCGTTAACCCTCCTATTATTTGGATCTCCTCGGACCCGCTTGATACCATGATGATCATGCGTACACGCGTTCCCGCTTGTCATTTTTACGCGTTGTGGAATAATTTTCTAAATATAACGCGAAGAAGGAAGAACGAAGTGATTTCGTCCGTACGATTTTGAATTTCGCGTTCCGACTGTACGTCCGACGCTAAACGTGGGCTTTTAATTTTCAAGCTGGAATAAAGCTTGGGATCCGCATTTTACGTCAGATTAAAGAGAAAGATGGCGGAGAGAAAGGAAATGATCAAATATGCGATTCGCAAAATCTCGAACGGTACTTTGCGCCGCCTTTTCGTATTGTATGCCGAGTGGCTTAGGACCGCCGGTGATCCCTCATGGTATTAGAAGGGCTAAGAAAGACGAATTTACAAGAAACGAACTTACTGTCCTCCGGGATTTCGATTCTGAAGGTCAATTTGTCGCCGATGCGCACCGTCTCGACTTCGCGCGATCGGCTGTCGAGGATGCGGATCCTCGGCGGCGGCGCTTCCGGCGCGCTCGTGATGCTGATCATTTCCGGGTCTCTGATCGGCATCATACCGAAGGTGATATTCTTCGAGGACATGTCGTATGTACACTTAACTTTGTAGATTTTGTCGGCCTTTGTCATCACCACGGAATGGTGTTGCAGCACGACCGTGTTCGAGTAGATCCCAGTCTGAAAACCGTCACGCTGCCATGGTGAAAAGAAAGTTTGAACAGAGAATAAGTATTCAAAGAGAGAGAGAGAGAGAGAGAGAGACAGGCGCGTGTCGTAAGCTCGATTATCGATTCTCAAGTATAAAAAATTACCCGATTCCTCTATCCTTCTTTTGGAAATTTATCATGTTTTTTATGTCAATGTTAATATCATGTTTCGAAGTTTGTTATGTTTGTTATATTAATCACAGAGATTATGTTCCTCGTGATAAATTAAATATCGATCATTGATAGTCGAACAAACGTGGCGAGGCAATTAATGGTTAGGCGGAACAATATCGGGCACACCGACAAAGCGTTCGTGATTCAAGGTGGTGCTGAATTCTTTAGATTTAAATTCGACGGCTCCTAAGCGTGCGTGTAAGTGTGCTCTACGCTTCGAATCTTGAAAATAAGAGAAAAAAACCATGCCACCACCATCGTCGTGTGTTATAACTTACCACACTCTGGGTGTTGCAATCTTGCCCGCTCATCGTGAGATCCAGCCTGAATAGATCGCTGTTGATAACGTCGATATTGCACGTTTCCGAGCGTCCGAGGGCGTAGATACGCCCGTTGAATGGCTTATTAGTGCGAACCTGAACGGCGATTCGTGTATCTTTACAATCGACCGACACTGCAAAACCAACGATCGTCCGTTAAAAACAAAATTATCCGCCGTGTCTTTCACGCTGCGGGCGTCTACTCGGTGACCTTTTAAGTAGAAGTAACTTTAGAGTAGAAATATACTTAGCCTGAGTGAAAAACTGGTAGAACCAGTACAGGCTAGGTGGAATTTTCTAAGTGATATCAATCCCGTACCATCGTAACAAGTCCCGGTCTTGTCGCAGTTAATATCGTTTCTGGTGAGATTGTTGATCGTGGGGTCTTCGGTGGTCTCGAAAACGATGGGCAATGGATCCGCTATCGGGCCGGTACCCTCTGAAACGAACACATATGTGCCTTGGAGTCGCGCGTACACTTTTAATCCCTTGACATAAAATGACGAGTCTGACTCGTCATTCATTTCATGGGCCACTGTAGACTTTGACGAGTCTGACTCGTCAAGCGCTTTTTTCGGCGGACGCCGTGCAGTTTACAATTAGATTACATAGTTGCTTCACTCGTGCGTCGATTCTCGTTTGTTTATAACGTTCGAGATGGCCCAAGAACAAAGAAGCATTATATTGCAGAATATTGCAGAAGACATGCTATATAATTTGTCTCTTCCTAACTATCCAAAGCGTGGCAGATCGTCGCAAAATGAATGCCCGACTCGGCTACAGGCCAAACGTTGGGCACATTTGCCGGAACATATTCCCTCGACTGATAAAAAGAAATTACCTACAAAGAGATGCCGCGTGTGCGTAAAAAACAACATAAGAAGTGAAACAATGTGGCAGTGCAAAAAATGTTTAGTTCCTTTACACGTTCCAAAATGTTTCGAAATATTCCATACTGTACAAAACTATTAAATTATTATTTTTTAATCTTATTTAAATGTTCTTTGTTAACATCAATCTGATTAATAAAAATCCAAATTTCAAAATAAAATGTACTCTTTCTCAGCTTTCACGTAACTGTTCAGTTGAGCGAAATTAAATAGTATTTTTTGGTCGCATTAAGTTCCATTTAATTTGTATGTCAAGGGGTTAACGAAGCGATGGCCGAGTTCGCTTACTTTCGCAGAAGTTCTCAAAGTAGGTGCCGACGCGCTCCCCGTTGTCGATCAAGGGTCTCTCGGCGTTCAGGTACGTCGAGGGTCCGTCCGGGAGGGTCCAGTGGTCCAAGTGGAACAGGTGGCAGTTGTAAGCCGAGCCCTGAGGAGCGCCGCGGTAGAGGAAGGACCTGCAGAGGAACTCGTTCTCGATCTCGCAGGCCAATCGGCAGGCGGACTCGCTCTGAACCTGCAGCTCCTTGTCGGTGTAATAATGCAGGCCGGCGTACTGCGCCACTTTGTCGTCCGCCACGCCAATCCTGGGCATCTGGAAGATCCTCTGAGACTTGCAGGCCTCTTTACCTGCGTGAGGGGGATTTACGTGGCCGCGATTAACTTACTCGTCCTCTTAACGGGTCGTTCGATAAGCATGCAGGGATTTTTACGAAGGATTCAAGCCCGATACTCTCACGCTCATGGGTGAAACTTTCTTCGACAACGCATTGACTGTACTTTTTCCTTCGACGGTGGATCGTCGAAAAAAATGAAAAAAAACTGAATAAAAAAGATATACTAAAAAGAGCCGTTAACGACCAGTGTATGGCTATATTTTAGTGCAATATATAGTCCAGACCCGCCGAAAAAAAAAAAAATATATATATATATAAGTTGGACCTAACTATGAAGATATTGGCTTTGAGTTTTTCGTAAAAATTCCCACGAACTTATCAGACAGCCCGATGCAATCATCTTTCCTTGGCCCCGAAGCCGATTTGTTTTCAGTCTTCTTCCTTTTACCTTTCAGGCATAAATTCTCAAAATAATCCACCCCCTGCGCGTCCACGAATTGAACGTATTGCCCCGTTGTCCGGCGATCCGAGTCGCCCAGGTGGCACTGCAGCGTCACGTAATTGTACTCGACGGATCGGCAGGTGAAACGGTGCTCGTTCAAGCAGGCCGCGAGACAGGCCTCCTTTGTGGAGGTGTAAATGAGCGCGTTGTCCAAGCCGCGGATCATCTTATTCGGGATGCGCTCGAACGCCCACGGCCGCAAACAGACGTTCTCTAAAATAACGTATGACGCGTAATGACAGGCGCAATTTCTTCCGCCTCGTGCGCGCTCGGCGCGCATTCTTACGCGCTCGCGACACGATCCGTCACGTCTGGTCGGCGATGACTATGCATTTCTCATTTACAGCAGACATGTAGTCTGACAAGTGCCGCGCGAGACTTATTGTACGTTTCGCCGCTTGGACTGGATGATAAGACTCTGTTACAAAGCGTGTGATTAATAACCGGTTGCGACATACTTTCGCGGAAGGAACGAAGGTGCAGTTCTTCTATCTCGCTTTTTAAAGCAGCTGATCCGTAGAGTGGCAGATTTTCAGTCGCGATATTAAGGAACACCTGCGTAAATTTATGAGTGTTAACAGAATACTATTTTGCGCGCGAGTACTCGGATTATTTAAATCGTCTCCCCCGAGGAGAGGCGGTCGCGCGACGAGCTTCGCATCACGATTCGAGAGATCCGAATCGCCGCGCCGAACACGCCGGGAGAAATCACGAGCCGCCGGCATGTGACTTGGCACGCGTTTACGCCGCGCGATGACGCACGTAGACCCGTGCTTTTTGGCATACACACCCGGAATGTATTTCGGCCAGGCCCGTTCGCCGTTCCGATTTCTTTTGTTACGCCCTCGAAACCGGCGCTAAAGTCGCCGTCGACACACGAGAGCGGTGCCAACGAACCGACGCGTGACTCCTTCACGGATGAATCACTGCCGTGATCGCGCGAATTCCCGACCGCCACTGACAAGTCGCTCGTTCCGGGCGAATTATCGCCGGAACTAATGAATCGATTATTTTTCACGCGCTGCGCACGTTTCCCTCCGATTTCGGTACCCGCGAGTATCCGCGCTCGAAATCTAGCGAAGAAGCTAGCTAATCACTTCTGTAGATTCGAGAAAAATTCATTACATTTATACTTGCACAAAGCGATCATTGTAAGCCTTTCGTTTGAACTCTCTCAGGGGACAAAGCCCTAAAGCGATAATAAACGTACGTATCTATCTGTTTATCTGTTTTGCGACCTCGATAATATCGCATTATTGCCATCTGATTGCGAGCGACAGTGCTAAATTCAAGTACTTCTAAACGTTTCGGTAGACTTTCTATCGTGCATGCGTGATGATTGGTCCGAAATCCAAAACCAAATTTTGGCAAATCTGAGAAAAATGTGAAACTCGCAACTGGTCGGACGCATTCCGCACAGTTTTGCGGCATGTGACGAAACGTGGCGTGGAATGCTTGAAATATATGGTTCTCCAAGAATTTGAGACGTTGTCGGGGTCGACTCGAAACAACTCGAATTTCAAAAATAATTTCACATGTTCGCGAAGAAGCTGATTTATGAACTGCGAGTGGGCACAATTTTTCAAGGCGTTCACCATTTTCCAGCCGAACGTGTCCCACGAAGAATTCGAGTAAGCGCTTGACAGAAAAATATCTCCAAACAAAAAATACTCGGCGTGGATACTAATAACATATTTACCATACTTATATATATTTATATATATATATATATATAAAGAACAATTTGTTTCAAACGAGAAAAAAAAATATTTTTTTTAAACCGTAGTTTTTCATGAAAAAAGCGACGACGTTCTATATAAATGAAAGAAGCGACGTTCTACTTAAATGAAAGAATTGAAATTTGAATAAACATGTTGAATAAACATGTTGAATAAATATGTTGCTAGTATCTACCCAATATAAATATTCATTATCTCTTAGATATCTTTTCTCTTAATATGCATAAAATCAAAAAGTCACCGTTTCATGAGAAACAAGAGAAAAATGTGCAAGGCAAATGTTTACGGTCTGTTGACGAGAATTTTCATAGATAACGGTCTGCGTGACTAATTCGACGTGGTTTTAGACACAAATGACACTGAAGATAACGCTGCAAACTTCAACAAATAGCTCGATAACGTAAAGAAACAATACAGTTTTATCGGTGATTTTTCCATGCTTTCGATTATTTCACTATAAATATTGTTGTTTGCTGACAACGCATTTCCCCTTAAACCTAATCCGTAAACCGTTTCCGAAAATTCACTAGACGCTTTGTCGTTTGTAACGATATCTTTAACGTCAGTAAACGAAAGAGAAAGAACACAAAACAACTGGCACGTGTTTGATGGACGGAGAATCTAACGAATGACGCGACAGTTTTGAAGATACTTTGCGATAAAAGATAAAAAGTCCTATGGATCGTTGCTTCTCTCCAGAAAGCAATCCTTTATTTAAATCATAATAGAATAAACTGTCTACACCTAAATGGATATTCTTTCTGTGCTTGGTATCTGGAGATGAGCAGGTTTGCACTTAGACCCAAATGATATTCCTCGCCGCGAAAACGGCATTATTTGTTCTGACCCTTCCTTTAAAGTAGGGGAACTCTAGAAAACCTTAGAAACGGGTGCTATTTGCTACGAAAAAAGAAAACCTTCGGACGACACGTACGACATGCTACTATTTATTTCCCCCAACGTGCACAGTTTCAGCGCACTCGGATTAGGCGTTTATTTATTATTTAACATTATTATGCCGCGCGTGACCTCCACCTCTTCCATTTTATTTATTCCTATTCTCTGTATGCACGTGTCAGGGCAAAAAGTTATATTTAAAAAGGAACGGTTAAGTAAAGTTAAGTAAGGGAAATTTTTAGGGCGCTTTTGTAAAGAAACAATTATCCCAAAGCAGGTAAATAAAAAATTATCAATAGGACGAAAGTATAGCACGGTATAGAAAAAGATATCACCGAAAAACATCTGTCAGTAATGTCGTGCTAAATCGTCGCCCAAACTACCTCTCTGCAAGAGAGATGTTTCTTAAACAAAACCATTTTTTTTTCTCACGTAGAGCGTGACAAAAAGACGGTAGCAGCATGCTGTGCCGCATTTTAGCTTGACCGCCGTGTTACAGATGATACGAAACTAACTCTCTTTTCTACGTCACTGTTTTCCACCTTTAGCACCATTCTGCACAAATAAACGTGTTCTAAATCAATTTTGTCACGTGTTAAAGCGACTCTAACATTTTCTCAGGAAATTGTTAAAGCGACTGATTTTTCCCAGGGAACTGTTGTCGACTCTTTCCACAGAATGAAACGAACGACCAGCAGCTCGTTCGACTATCCTCATTCACAGATCGGTGTACCTTTCCACTCTTTCAACCCAAATATATCTCGCTACATCAGGATATTTATTTCAGATTTTGTTAAATACGGAACAAAAAATCATACGTTGTTTCAATAAATCAAATATTCTACCGATTCTATTCGACAGCATTTTTCTATATATAATTCAGAGAATTTGAAGTGCTTTTATTACAAAAACTGCGCGTATGTTGACCTTGCTTCCAATGATTTATGAGATAATTGTTAAAAGAATAAAATTGAAAAAAGGTGTTATTTTCTATTCACTGGGGATCGAAAGTATACATGCTGTCACGGTGACGGGGAATTAGAGTTCAAAGGGCTAATTTCGGAGAAAATGTATTATTGAGACGCCAGACGAGACGAACGTATCGACTATCTGCGCGCGTTAACAGCCCGTCCACCCGCACCCGCTCACCGGATCTGATCTGCAATTTCGTCATGTAGTACATATTGGCGGCCCTCTGAGGCTGCGCGGCCGGGTTCGTGGCGGCCGTTTCGTTTTGCAGCTGGCAGAGAGTGTCCTGCATCGGCGCCAAGGGATTCACGACGAACGAGAACGCGGCGGCCTGACACTCCGGCTCTTCCCTGCACCATCCTTGGCACTCGTACAACGACAGATTCCTCACGCTGTAATAGGTGGTGCCGCGGTAATCGTAGTCGGTGAGCTTCTCGAACGCGGTCCTGGCTGAAATGAGAAACTTAGCCGTTTACAGGACGCGCCGACGCACAATGGTGCTTAAGCATACGTTTCTCGGACAAAACCTCGCAACTTCTTTATTACACAAAGATACAGACGGAACCGATGATGGATTAAAACGAGAAAATATATATCAGTCAAAAATCCAGTATCGATATAAAAAAAAATACTCTTATTTATCGATAAATGAAAATAGAACTATGTCGTCAAAAATTATTAATTATTAATTACGATAGCAAAGAAGCGATTTCGTATTATTTTACCTACTCTCGCAAGTATCGATATGTATATTGATATAATTGCATTGGTATTATAAAATTCATATATTTAAAATTTCAAGCGAACGTTATACATTCGAAATTTTTCAGCGGCCTGATTGATGTCGATTTTAATAACATTTTCAACCGTGAAATATCGCTGTCCCATATATTTGCAATTTCTTATCACTCTCAATATTATAATATTGTGTAAATATATTCAATCTTCTAGATTCTAGATATGTTCAATCATCTTCTAGATACGCTCCTAAAAACTAAGGTTTTGTCCGCTTTGGCGCCACTGTACGACGTCTGCTCGTGCGTGCGAGCACGTGACCCACTTCGCTCTCCGCATACATAATGACGCGTCAACGACAAATGTCATATTAACGACGTATCGATGACGTCACCGATGTCATTAATACGTCATTAATACGCCATTTGTTGCGGTTCATGCGTCGTTGATACGTTATCGTGCTCGCTGGCTCGCTTCGACGTATCTCACGAGAATCCCGCCGAGCGCGATTTAGAAATGGAATCTTCCCTTGGAGTTGTGACAAAGGCTCTCGGCTAATTTCGACATAGGAACTTACCCAACGCGGCGTCACCGCTCGCTAGTAGCATTACGAATACCAGGCTCGCGCTTGCACACGCCACCCTCCTGATCGCGAACGAGCCCATCTGCAATGGAAAGTTTAGCTGCACAATCTTGATCGAACGTTCTTAAACATATATTCTTACGTTAAATATACATATAAATGTATTAACGCGTATGACTCGGTAATACTTATCCTGCGACATCCTATATAAAGAAAAAGGTTTTTTTGGACTTTAGTATACGTATTTGTTTGACTTGGGAATTGCTTGATAAACAATATAACTTGATATCAAATATCATTTTGTTCGAATGAAAATATTGTTTCATTATAGTAAAATGTTGCTCGATAGAAAAAGCAATATTATTTAGAGGGAATAATACTTGTGGTATTTTCAATAAGAAAAATTGATTTTATTATATATTAAATGTTCTTCCACTGAAACAGAGAAGTTTTTCAATATTTTCCTAACGTGGTGTTACTTCCTTCAAATAATTTCATTCCTCGTGACAACCATTGTGATATTTCGATGAAAGCACAGAAGAGATGTCATTTGTAAAGATATTTATCGTTTGAGACAAACTCTTGTTTGTTGAATCAAACATACAGTTTAATTAACTTAATACTTAATTACCCCCAACAGCCGTACTTAACAACATAATAATAAGCAGGTTCATTTGATAATAGCCCTATCAGTTTGATAACGCATACAGTCAACAAGACGAAAAGATGACGGAGATTGCACCTTGCAGAGCCGGCCGCCGCGGGGACGAACGAGTCGGTGGCTCTGGTAAGGCAAACACGCGGGCGAAATGATCCCGGCGGAAGAGCGATCGAGCGCGCATAAATACGGAATAATCCCGCCGCGTGGCCAGATGGAAAGCTCTCGATGGAGAAGTGGAGTTAATCGGCTATCCAGTTAATCAGGAAACACGGCTCATCAGCGGTGGCGGTGGCCGCCGTCGTGCATGATCGCCGTTCGCCAACGGGTCCGCGCGTAGAAGTCCGAGGACGATCTTGCCGGGATCATCCGATCGAGGAAACCGCGCTGCCGGGCGTATAATTCCGCGCGTATACCTACTGCTGCTACTACCACTACTAGCACTACTAGTTCTGCCGCTACCACCAGTTGGGAGCATGCGAGCGGTCGATTTCCCGCGCGCGCATTTTGCTCGCGTTTTGCTCGTGCGAGATCGCTTCCTAGTTTCCTCCCCCTGTCGCGTTTCTCCTGTCTTTTTCGTCCCTCTTCTTTCTTTTTCGTCTCTTTCCTTTCCCGCAGGTGGTACGCAGGAGACTTGCTCTTCTCTATTCTCCCCTCCTCCGCCTCGCCTCGCCAAGCTTGGCCGCATCTCCCGCGGCTATTTCTCCATGTCGTCCGTCGTCTCCTAGGATCCTCGTCCTGTGTCGACAGGACGGGTTTTGCATGATTCGCGAGGGAGAGAAAGAGAGAGAGAGAGAGAGAGAGATCGGTTTCTCACATTCCCCGTTTAATACGCTTATTTGTTATCTCGAGCGGTAATAGCGAGAACGTTACGCGAGCAAATAATTCGATCGCCGAGCGAGCATATGCACGATTGAAAATAAATCGCCCCGTTACCCAGCAATCGATCTTTTCCTCGCCTATAGCGGATGTGTTTTGCACGACACAGGTAATTCCCGGAATCCGTTCCTTTTCATTATCGTCTAAAACCTTCTCTGCGGGAAGGGATGCGCCGCATGCGAGCGCGTGTGACTACAAAAGGAATGAAGAAACAGTGCTTTGAAGCATTGTGGGACCAGAAAATGAACAGAACTACACTGAGAAAGAAAGCACTTAAAAATTTACTTACGGAGGGGATATCACAAAAACCATATTTCACAAAAATAAACCTTATTTCTGTGAAATTAATTTATTACAAAGATATTTACGTGAATGTAGCACTTTTGTTCTTTTAGCGTGTACTGAGAAAAAAATTTAAATTTATTTGCGGGATATATTTCACAGAGGTAAATCTTATTTCACAAAAATAAGCCTGATTTCTATGGAATAATCTTAAAACCCGCAAATACATTTCTACGTACTTTTTTTTCAGAGTATACACTGAAAGGGAAAATGTGCTACATTCGAATAAATATTTTTGCTAAAGAATATTGGAGTAATAGTTTTATTTGGATTAAGTAAATATTACTTGAGAATGCAGCGCAACTGAAATGAAAAGTGTTACATTCAAGTGAATATTTACTTAATCCAAGTAAAATAATTACTCCAACACTCTTTAGCAAATATTTACTCAAACGTATTACACTTTTTCTTTCAGAGTAACGGCCAAGAACAGCGTGAGGCAGCACTTCTCAACTTTCGTCCGTGGTGCCCGAGGGGCCCGCGGTTTGGTGAGGCTGTGATCGACCGGCGTTGAGCGTGACTAATGAAATCATTGTGTTCTTTGTATCTTTTTCGTCGTCTCGTGCGGCTTTCATTCGCTACTAACCCACGCGTCCCAGGCTCGCCTTCCTTCGTGCTAATTTCTGCACGCTTGTCGATCAGCAGCTCTCACCGACGGTTCTCATCGGCGGTTTTCCTCAGCGGTTTTCCTCCAAGCGGTTCCGCTGACCAACTTTCCACCTTTCTCGCGCGCGTCCGTTCCTCGGCAATCCGCGTTGCGATAATACGATAACGAGGATGCAGATGCGATCGTACGATTACGCTCGAACGGATCAAGAGCAGCCACGTATATATATATATTTATATCTATGTATAGTATATGGTCTCAGCGGCGAAGGTTCGAGGTCATCGAGTATAATGGAGCTGCGCCGTAGGACGTGAGAGGGAATGAGAGCCACGCTGTGGCCTGCGCCGAGGCCAAAGGTTCATCCTTCCCTCACCGTCTCCGCTTCACCGCCTCCCGCACCCACAGCGAGATGCAACGTCGTGGCAAAGTCGCGCGCGCGCGCTAACAATGAGGAATGCGCTTAGGCGCGCTCGGTAGGCAGGTTGATGCACTGTTACGAAGATTAATGCGCGCACCGTCCCGCCGAGGTGAAAGAAACGCGCGGAAGAGGAGCGCGCGGATTTCTTTGTCCCGCGCAGGGTCACGAGTTATCTGAGAAACTCGGATTTCCGGGGATTAAGGCGCGCCTTTGCCGGCGCGCAGCAGGAAATGCAGCTTACTAAGCGCTTTGTGATGATTGTCTGGTGATTGGAATAATTCTTTTGGATCTTCCGTAAATCGTGGAGATCGTACAGCAATCAGAAGCAATGATCGTAAAGTGCGAATTTTTCACATTTCAAATGGACAATAATATTCGGAACCGAGAATTTCGGCAAAACGCGAATGCAATATGATATAATATGTGTGTCTGCGTGATATGTGATATGATATAATATTTGATTGACAAAAACGAATAGATAAAGACGGCCTGATCTCGGCAAAGTCTAAATAAACGTAAAAATCCTTAAGTCCTTAAATCCTTAAATCCTAATAAACGTAAAAATCCTCGACACGAGACCGACGTACATAGGAATTCTTGCATTTCAACCCCTGCTCGAGTTCCCTTCGGCCACGATGCAGGTAATAACTCGAGCAATATGCAGGAACATGTACGTGCCTTCGGCCGGCTCGAGCTTTAGAATTCCCTCCCGATTATTCAATTACCAGAGAAGATCCGAATGAAATTATATCAGATTATTAGATCTCTCTCGGAGGATCCTGTTCGAATTAATACGTTCGAATTATAACATCGTTTCAGTTTACACGCGAATCTCACCGGCTGAACTGACGTCGCCATCCGAGCGTAATACGAGCGCAACGATAAATGAATCGCTCGCCTCTATCTGCGATCGGAGAATACTCTCGCGCTCCAATTCGCGCCTCGAGAGTAGCACTGGCGCACCGGGTACACGAACACGGTAGCTCTCGAGCGACCTTAACGATCGCGCGTATGTGCCACGCGCGCTGCCCCCGACACGCCGGCGGGAAAAGTTATTCCGCGTATACGTCAAGCCCTGACCTTTACGTCACAACCGGTCCCTCCCTCTCCCCCTCTTTTTGTCCCTCTGTCTCTCTTTTTCTCTCGTCTGCGATCCCAGCGAGAAACCTGGCCGGGACAGGTTGCTCGGTGATGTTCCGCGGGCGCCTAAGGCGCGTTCGCCACGCGAGATCGACACTTCCGGTAATCCCCGACGCGCCGGTGCAATCCGCACGCCTACCGGATTTCAGTCGCCTTTTTGTCAGAAGTGTTCCCTGATAACGAAGACCCTGATTACTTCCTGCCTGTCTGCCTGCCTGGCACCGCCGATGGAAGTCATTATGATACAGTTCGCGATTAGGTGAATTACAGGGGATTGTTAAGCTTGTATAGTGATTAGCGAAAAGGGGAAATGGGACTTTTATGGCTGTTCGGCAGTTCGACGTATCGGAGATGCGCCATCGTCTGCCGTGTTCTCGTAGTCTCTTTCTCTCTCTCTCTCTCTTGATCGTTGGGAAAAGGAAAAAGACGCGAGTAACGTCGTGGTAACATTCGCCGGAATCCGGGGATTCTTCAGTGGACGGTTAATTATCGAGTCACGATCGCGTCATCCGCGGATAATGCGGCGGCGTCACGGGGGTCTCGTGACGGCCGGCCCGGCCACGCGATTATGACAGGACCTGGGAGACCCATGAAGAATCAATTACGTAGTCACGAGAGTCGCGCGATCTCTCTCCTTCCCCGGAGAACGAATCGGACGTTTACGGGGTCATTTATGATCCTTCGAGAGCCAATCCATTACCTCGCGTCGTGATGCCGTCGTCGCCGCGGTCGCGTCTACCCGGCGACGATGCATTATTCGGCCGCTTTACGAGCGTCCGCGCCGGATAATCCGGATAAGTTCTCACGGCCGGCTAGATTTTCTCCTCGGGAAATCCGCCGGCCGATGCTTCGCGCTATTCCGAGGTGGATGAAGAAGAAGCGGTATTTATTAGGTGTTTTGGTCGTTTTTCCGCAAATTTCCACCTTTTTTCACTGTAATCTTTAAGGACCGGAACCTTTTCACACGGTGCAGAGACGCTCACGATAGACGGTTTTGAAGTCAGCAGTGTTCGATCGAGGCATCGGCTAAGCGCACGA